CATATTTAAAAAAAAAATTGAAGTAAAACAAAAAAAAAAAATCTATAATTACTTAATACTTTGTAGTAGTACTGTTATAACTGAATAAATAAAAATAAAAAAGACTTTAACGGATATGTAAATATGACTAGACTAGTGAATTAATTGTAAGTGGTCCTCAAGTAGGTACCCGTGTTATTTAGCTAATTTAATAATATCTATTTAACTTCATAGAGGTACCTACCTAAACAAAAATATTTTGATAGCGTTTTAACCGATTAAATCAATTTTGTAAATGTAAACTAGGTACCTTTATGTACAATTTTTAAGCTTACACGAACCCATTTATAAGTCGCGACACACCATTTGACGATCAATGGCTTATAGGATATAAGATTATGAATTGAATTAATTGTAAGTGGTCCTTAAGTAGGTACCTGTGTTATTTAGCTAATTTAATAATATCTATTTTACTTCATAGAGGTACCTACCTAAACAAAAATATTTTGATAGCGTTTTAACCGATTAAATCAATTTTGTAAATGTAAACTAGGTACCTTTATGTACAATTTTTAAGCTTACACGAACCCATTTATAAGTCGCGACACACCATTTGACGATCAATGGCTTATAGGATATAAGATTATGAATTGAATTAATTGTAAGTGGTCCTTAAGTAGGTACCTGTGTTATTTAGCTAATTTAATAATATCTATTTTACTTCATAGAGGTACCTACCTAAACAAAAATATTTTGATAGCGTTTAAACCGATTAAATCAATTTTGTAAATGTAGGCTATAGGTACCTTTATGTACAATTTTTAAGCTTACACGAACCCATTTATAAGTCGCGACACACCATTTGACGATCAATGGCTTATAGGATATAAGATTATGAATTGAATTAATTGTAAGTGGTCCTCCAGTAGGTCCCCGTGTTATTTAGCTAATTTAATAATATCTATTTTACTTCATAGAGGTACCTACCTAAACAAAAATATTTTGATAGCGTTTTAACCGATTAAATCAATTTTGTAAATGTAAACTAGGTACCTTTATGTACAATTTTTAAGCTTACACGAACCCATTTATANGAATAATAACGCGACTAACATTTATTCGTCTTTAAACACAGCGACAACATCAACAATGTTTGTAGATAGTAGGACTCTTTAACGATAATAATATAATATATTTATTTTATTATTAGCCAAGTTTACTCATAAATTATTATATTTAATGTCATACCACTTAGAATCATACCAGTATATGAAACATATACTGCGATTTAAAATCCATTATACTATTATATTTTTGAATATAAATTATATAATATTGTTTATACATAATATATTACAATAATTTTCAAACTGTATTTTCATTTATTAATTTTATAAGTTTAATAATTAAACAATTATTTGTATACCTTATATAATTGTATAAACTTAATTTTTATTTTAAAAAGAAAACTTATCGCGACCCAATTTTTAAGCCTACGCGAACCCATTTATGGGTCGCAACCCACCGGTTGAAGACCACTGATTTAATGTATACCTTTAACGATAATAATATAATATATTTATTTTATTATTAGCCAAGTTTACTCATAAATTATTATATTTAATGTCATACCACTTAGAATCATACCAGTATATGAAACATATACTGCGATTTAAAATCCATTATACTATTATATTTTTGAATATAAATTATATAATATTGTTTATACATAATATACTACAATAATTTTCAAACTGTATTTTCATTTATTAATTTTCCAAATTTAATAATTAAACAATTATTTGTATACCTTATATAATTGTATAAACTTAATTTTTTTTTAAAAAGAAAACTTATCGCGACTCAATTTTTAAGCTTACGCGAACCCATTTATGGGTCGCGATCCAATGGCTTATAGGATATAAGGTTATGAATTGAATTAATGGTAAGTTGTCCTCAAGTAGGTACCCATGTAATTTAGCTTTTTTAATAACATTTATTTTATTTTACATAGTTACTTCTTTAAAAAAAATATTTTGATAGTGTTTAAACAATTAAATCAATTTTGTAAATGTAGACATAGGTACCTAATATAAATCTTGGTTCAACCAATTTCATCAAACTTTAAGTTTTTAATTTACATCAAATATCAATTAAGTATAAATAATTGGAATATTTTCATAATTTGTAAGAAATCATTTTTTTTTTTTTTTTAATAATTATATATTTTTAAAGAAAACTAGAGAATTATATAAATACAAAATGAGCAATATTCAGAAAGTATTGTATGTATCTACAATGTGTACTAATAATTTTTTTTGTCGTATGATTAGTTTTTTCAAGTGACTCTTAGTGAAGTAAAATTGTTTTTCCTTCGCGTCCAACTTCTAATGTACCAATAATCACATTAGCGATATACCGGCCTTCTTCATCTAGCTTCGTCGATAGAAACCCACAGTTTTTGATTTTTACAAAACCTTTTTATGTTGTTCATTGTTTCTTCATAACAATTGGGCAACATACGATTTTTTTAATGTCGATTCGACAAGAATACTCTTGTTTGTATATTTTTCCAAAATGTTACGAAAACAATTATTTGATAATTTATTCAATAGAATATTAGCAGATAAAAGGGCTTGACACAAATCATAATTAAATGTATATTTTTTGGATGTCTAAGTAAGTAAACTCTGATTTTTGGAATTTCGAGTTTGTAAGTTTGTATGTTCAATACCATTTATGTGCTAACACGAGACATGTGCTGTTCCACAGTGAACTTTTTATCTGCTACAAGTTTATCGTCACATATTTTACAAAAAAATATACAACCATATGTTGAAAAAACACTACTTCCGAATTCTGAAACATACGATCGCGAAACGAGCACTATTCGAAATTTTATTTTTAGGCATTTTACAGAAGAATAAAAAAACAAAAAAAATACGTGAAACAGGACAATTAAACGACACACGAGGCACTTGACAACTAAATAATATTTCATATTTACAAAATTTAAGCTATACAATTAGTGGCTACAGTACGATACGTTTTGGTGGTTATTGCAAATAATAATTTTATTGTTCACAATAAGATAACTAAATATACTCTATATCAAACAAGTTTGCCGGGCTATTCGACGAAAATAGACGTGTGGCAGTCTGACCGATGCATGTACTCGACATGTGTACGTAGTGAGCTATATTAATTCACATTTTTCGTATCGTTAAAACCAACCGTGTATTGCGTCCGTACTGAATTATCGTTAACACGAGTACTCTGTATACACGGCAGCGCGACAGCCGGCTGTAGTTGTCCGCTCACGATAAGTAATAATTTAGTAGATAAATTTTTTTTTTATTTGTTTACGTAACCAATGTTTAAAAGTAAAAATATAATAAAATAGACAAAATAACGTAAAATATCAGCAAAAATGATTTAAAATGGAGAAAACATAATATAATAATAACAATGAGAAAAAAATGCAAAAAAAAAAAAATTAGTTATTTAAATTCGCATGCTATTGAAACACATTTTCAGCTAAGAACGCATCATCTGAGAAGTTACAAAAAAAAAAAAAAAATGCAAAGTGCATCAACTTCCGAGCCCAAATGATAACTTATAATAAGTGTTTTAAAACTCAAAATTTAGTTGGTTTATTTTTTTTTAAATAACGGCTTAATAGTTATTTGCTAAAATAATTTACGAGTGAATTACATTTTGAAATCAACTTTTCAAATACTTGATTCTTGTCCTCGAAATCGTCCATGCTAGAATCCATCATACTTGGCGACTTGGCGGACGACGTTATACGTTCGCAGTCTAATTTCGAATTGACCAAAACGTCATTGACACGACTAATCATCAAATTACTGTTACTATCATCGGTCGCCGGACTCTTTCCACTGCATTTGTTCGACGACGATTTCATAATGTTTTGTTTGTGTTTCAAGTTGTCTAATTGTATTTTCAAATTATGAGCCTTTTCTGCTTCACATTTATGCATTTTTTTCGTTTCCGACAATTTATCTTCTAATTCTACGACAAGCTGACATTTTACGTTTAAATCGGTTTTTAAATTGTTCGTCTCGGTTTGGATTTTTTCGAATTTTTCCATCGACAGTTTTTCTTTTTCGTCACTATTTTTAATCACTGTGTCTAATTTGCATTTTAGTTCCTTCGTACTTGTTTTCAAATGCTCTTTTTCGCTCTCCAATTTTTCCAATTCTTTCTTACGTTCTTTGACTTCCTTTTCTAAATTTCCTCTTTCTTTTTCAATGTTACATTTTTCTTTTCGTAATTTTCCGATAAAACTGTCGGCTTGAAGTTTTTCTTTTTCCATCGCCTGATTTAACATTGCAATTTTTCTATTACATTTATCTAGTCCTTCCTTTAGCTCTTGTATATTATTTTTTTGTACACATACGAGTTGATTACATTCCTTATTGCGGTTTTGTTCTATTTCTACTTCAGTTTTCAGCATATCTAGGTTTTTAATTTGTTGTAATTCTTGTAATTTCAATTTGTCTATTCTTCGCATACAATCATCTAACTTCGGTATTAATTTACGGGTGACTTCTTTTTCCTTATTGAGCTCGTCAGTTTTTTCATTTAATTTTTGTGTTACTTTAGTGAGTTCTTCAGATTTTTGTTCCAAACACCTTAATTGATTTTGATTTTGATCTTTTAAACACGCTGTAGTTTGTTTTTCTTCATTCAAGCATTTTTCCAATTTGCATATTTTTTCTTCCAAATATTTGTTTCCTGCATCCCGTTCCTTTAAATGGCATTTGAGTGATTCGTTATTTTTCATCAAACCCCCAATTTTGACATTTAAACATTCGTTATTGTTTTTACTATCATCCAAATCTTTGGTTTTCATACGATATTTATTAAATAAATTATTATAGTTTTGATGGAGCTCTTTAACTAGCACTTTGTTTTTTTCCAACATATCATTCACAAATTTAGAAGCATTATTTAGTTGGTTTTTCAGCTCTTCTTTTTCTAAAATTACTTCGTTCAGCATATACTCTTTCATATCCTGTTCTCTTAGACAACATTCTAGATTAGCATTTATGTTGTCTTCCGCATTGCAGTCATTTTTGTGGTTAACCTGAATAGATAAGATATAAGGAAAATGTAATAATATAATATTTTATGATAATAAAATGTATTGACTCACGCAATTATTCGTTTTGGTAGACATACTTTTAGATTTTTAAAAAATCTTATCAAGAATTAATTTTAATTTAAAAATGTATATTTTGTTTTGTTTTGTGTTTGTACTTGTTTTTGTGTTTTATTGTTAATAATTTATATTATTCTGTCGGTATAGTGATTATATAAAATAAATTTACCATTTTTGTGGCCATATCATACAACTGACATTTTATTCACCCTTATTTTTCTAATGTTTTGTATAGTTTATACTGTGAAATTGTGTAGCTTTTTATGTTAATTTGTATTATAGTGATGGCGAAAATTAATATTAAAATAAAAAAATATTGGAACAATTGCCAAATAGGTACCTATTTTAGATTTTGAGTATAGCGAAGAATATATTAGTTTTACAATGATGTTTAATTTTTTTTCTTATTTTTTTTAATATTGTGTACAAAAATCTTTCTCAGATATATACGCGCGGCATCATTACTGAAAGGGAATGATGGCCAGATGGTACTTTTGGGAGGTCATTTTTTTATTTTCCAAGCGGTTTCCATAATATCTGGGAAAAACCAGGATAAAACGTAAAAAAACGGGAAATTTACGATTATCATGCTTTCATTATTTTTCAATTTTGTTATTTGTTGTAATTCAATTAAAAATATTCGTAGAGACTTGAAATTTGAAAAAAAAAAACTTTCATTTATCTTCTATAGACGTGGTAAAATTTTCAAAATTTTGTACCATTTTTAAACTATTTATAGATATATTAATTTTGCGATTTTTGTATGTAATTTTTATTCAGTAGACACACTGTGATAAAATTGTTAGACTTCGCAGAAATGCTTAAAAATTTAACTGGACGTTTATTAAGAGTCTCGCCATGTGGTCAAAAAATTAAAAAAGACATCCTAGGATAATGGGGACGAATGCATCCATTGTTATAGATAATTTAATGTATACTCGTAAGCAATGATAAACCATTGCTTACGAAAATACGATTATTATTATTTATTATTTATGTATGTCTATGATGATAGTTCCATCGTAGTTATAAGTCCTATTATTTTATTTTTATTTTTTTTTTTTTTTTATTGAACAGAATAGGCCGGGGCCCAGAGTACAATGATTAGATTTATAATTTATTTACATACATTACTTTAAGTGACAATTACATAGATACATACAATGTGTACAGAGAAAAATTAAAAACGTATAGAAGTGGGAGGGTTCTCATTGGCGATGCGTATTGTCCTGAACAGTAGTCACCAATGAGAAATGGAGCACTTGACGGAAAAAGACTAAGGGTAAGTAGTAGTAAAACAAAATAAATAGAGTATGAGTTTAGAGGAACAAGACACAGCTAATGACTATATGTTACGTGCAGTGCATATTCTTACCTACCGACATGGGTGGTATATATTTTATAAAGCCTATTTAATTATTTTACTATAAAATGGCATATATATATTGTTGACAAAGCAACTCCGTTCAGAATCGTTTTTTTTTTCGTTAACAATGGTTTATCGTTGCTTACAGATACAGTGGAACCTCGATAACTCGAACCTCTATAAGTCGAATTTTCGATAACTCGAAGGAATACCTTGGCCCCTGTCTTCCAATATATGATATGTGTGATAAATTTTCTCGATAATTCGAATTTCGCTAACTCGAATTTCTCGATAAGTCGAAGTTGAATTTTAGCTTATAACTCGAATTTATATAATAAAATATAATTCGTACAATTACCTATCTCGATAACTCGAAGGTCAAATAACCAAGTACATATGTATATTATTATAAATAACGAAAATCGTAATCGAAAACCGATTACTATTATCAATCTTATCATTACCTATACTACTTAAAAGTAACAGTTATAAATTCAACGATATTGTATTATGTAATATGTATGTCTATACCTAATCTATTTCTCCGATAAGTTACGTTTATCTACTTTATTAGTATTTATTACTGGTAACATTTTGATGAGGTGGACTCTAGTGTTATAACAACATACTATCCTACTGATAATGAAATACTGAACGATTTGAAATTCCAAGAAATGCCTAACGAGTCAAGTGGGGAGGAGTCAGTTATTGAAGACGATGGCGAATTGGCTTTACCTAAAACTACTCTTGTCCAGGCATTAGATAGTTTACAGGTTGTACGTAAGTACATTGAAGAACAATAAGAAATTGGAGACGAGATTTTTTCCGCGCTAAACGTTATTGAAAACTTTACAGATAGGTCAAACATTAAGAAACAATCAAAAATATCTGANCGAATTTCTCGATAAGTGGAAGTAATTTTAGTTGAATTTTAAAAATAATTTCAATAACTCGAATTTTTTTTGCAGATTCGAGTTATCGAAGTTTTCCATAAGTCGAATTTTTTTTTTCGCCCCCAACCGATTCGAGTTATCAAGGTTCCACTGTATATATTAAATTTCCCCTATACTACCTTTCCATCTTCTCACCTACAACAGTGACTCACCCACATGCGAAGTATGTCCGTTTTTTATATCGGTGTTTTGGCATGACTATTGAGTTTTACAAGTTACAACTATTTCTCTTTTTTCTTATCAATTGTCAAAGATAAGACGTATTGAAATTTCGTCACTAATTGTTATATCCCTTTTTTATTCAAGGTTTATAGATAATAGTGGTCGCCTCATAGTCTTGTAAACAAACACTCCCTTATTATCTACTGATGTCACTTAAAGTATACATTTGGGAGCATAATGTGAGCAATGGGTTATTCACTGTATGAAAAAGCAAATTCGAAATGACTAGAATATATTGTAATTACTTAAATTATTTTGACGATGCTCATAACTTTATTAGACTACATTTTTAACTACACATCTAGTGAATGTAGACACACATAAATAATGAATAATAATAATAATAATAATAATAATAATAATAATAATAATCGTTTTTTCGTAAGCAACGATAAACCATTGCTTACAGGTATACATTAAATTATCTATAACAGTGTCTGCGCTCGTCTCTGTTATCCAAAGACGTCTTTTTTTTTAGGTATCGAAACTTAAAACCATCAATTATCAATAATTTTTTTTTACTACGCATAATCCTAAATAAGAACCTGCTCGGTCCCTTTGATAACCGGCCTGACTTAAGGAGTGGCATAATAAAATCAAACACCAACAAATTATAACAATTATTTGAAGTTTTGAAATCCAGGGGGGGGGAGGACAGATGCTCGGTTCCCCCTCCCCCTCCGGGCACCCTTGATTACCGATATGAATATTGTAAATAGATGTTGTTATAATTAATAATATCATAGTATATAATATTATGGAACTATAAAATTGTTGATAAATATGGACGTAGGCATTATCAATAAATACACGTGCGGATGATCGCGCGATGCTTGATTGACCCGGGTGTGATAAACCTAATTCTAGACGAATTCGGAAAATTACAACTACTCAAAGTAAGTCCATTACATCATAATAAAAAGCGAGTCCCTAAAAGGGTTTCTTTAAAAATGACGGATTTCGTGGATAGCGGTAGTCCTGTCCCTTAAACGACTATATTAGCCCTCTCCACCCCGAAAAAAATTGTACACGACCCCCTGAAAATGTATGACAATATTACGTAAACTAATTATCTGTAAAGTTAAGTTCCATTCCAATTTCTGTTGGGCATACATATCTCTTTATTATTCAAATGCAAAATAATTTTAGGTTCTGTAAAAAAATGTATTTGGTGTTATTTAATAGTGTAAGTATTTGAATTAAATAGGCGTAAGTTGGTAGGTACTGTTAGTTACGATAAATTACTTTTCAACTAATAAATTAGTTTTATATGAATTTAGTTAACGGCATAATATTGCATATGCATTTTCTATCAATTCCGTTTGCTTGCCACTATATACGATAAATTAATTGAACTATATTGCCATAAACACTTTGAAACAATGTATGTTTAATAGGCAAGTTTAAAATTCAATTTACGAAAAATGTATTAAATTTTATAACAATAATTGAATTATTATTATATTTTAGATTTGAATAGTTCAAGGGATCTATCGGTGCTTTTTTTTTTTTTTAGAGTCCAACAGTGATCTTATTATTGACTCTAATCACTAAAATAATCGCGTCACGCAGTAATGGACCGGTCATGTGTTGATAACGTGTTATTGTGTGCATAAATTAAGTTCTTAATGCATACAAAAAAAATAGTACCTATAAGTTACATAATTATTACAATGAAATAATATTATTATAATCATTGTGCTCATAACCCTCCTCATTCTGCTTTAAATACTAAAGAATAATAACTGCACAATTCAAAACAAGAAATTATCTATACACATGAAACAATTTGTCGTGGGATTGGAGTAACTACACAATTTATTTTTAAAAAAAGCAGTTCTCCTTAAAGGAAATTTATTTTGCAGTAAAAAAAGAAAACATATATATAAAATAAAATTAATAGGTATGGTAAATACGAACGTGCACTCACGTGAGGAACCGAACAAAACCTAAATAAGAATAATAAAATAATATAGAAACAAAATATAAATCCCGAAATACTAATCAACATACGATTACAATTAATTAATAAATAAGTACCTATTGCGCAATCATGGCATTAATAAGGACATTTAAAAACATACACACAGTTTAAACATTTAACACACAATATGTAAAAATAATATGCACAAAGTATATCCCAGTCCCCACACAATTGGTATCCAATACCCGTACTAGACTGTCTATAAAAAGCAGAATAACATGTCATTGAAATTTCAATTACAAAACAAAAATTAATTAAAATTAAAATTTTGAAAAAAAAAATGAATTTGCGTAATAAACATTAAAATATTTAATTTGAAAAACCAATGTTATTATCACCACAGGATACATAGGATTAAAATTACTCCACAAAATTTAATATTGTGAAAAATCTAAGTATGCAAACAAATCGTTGTTCACTAAACTAAAAATTACAAAAAATCTGAATTTAAATTTATGCATAATTCAACCATACAAATGGGGTGATCATGCTTAAAAATTCACCCTGTATATTATACTAAATCTTGATAGGTTATAAAGAAAAAGTATGTAAAAAATAATGGCTCTTAAAAATTATTCGTATCCCTCTTCTCTTCCCCCATGACAAAATCATCTGACCACCACTGAATCTAGTACTTTATCACCTAAACTTACCTATATTTATGGATATTATTATATGGCCTTGGTACCCACACTATAGAATTTTAAAATCAAACCAATGTCATTATTTAGTAAGGAATTTCTAATTTTTTGGTAACCTTTGTTTTTGAAGAAAAACACTTTCATTTTCTGATTGCTGCAACTCAAAAAATTCCGAATTTCCTACTAACTAAATAATAGTGTTGTTTTGTTTCAAAATTCCAAAGTGCGGGTGCCAGAATGACCGATCCTATTATATAAAGAGCCAACACATTGTTTTTGTCCACACTCATTGTTGTTCAAATCAATTGACCTGTCCTGTTAAAAAAATTAATTTTAGAATCTCAACTTTTAATTAATTTAGTCTTATGAAAATAGTAAGAATCAATCATTCCTCTTTGGAGAATAACCCAATTACTATTTATGTAAATAATGTTATGTCTTATGTGTTTCTGTTAAATATAATACTGTTGCGCAAATTAGTTTTAGGATCATTATCCTATGTGTATTGTCACAGTTTTCAAAAGGTAAATTTATTTTGATTGGTTCATAATAACAATAATTTAATTTTTATTATACTGTTTATCAAATAAAAGTAGGTTGGTTTGTTTGTACTGTGAACACTGCAATTTAGATAAACAAAAAAAAATAACAAAACCTATACTGCTGTTATAGTGTATTAGCTCAGATTTTATTTATTTTAAATTTTATTTTTATTATAAGTCCAATAAATGTAATACAAAGGTTTTTAGAAAGGTACATACTGAATACTGAATCCAAAATACCTTATTAATAAAATATAACATGAATACAAAAATGAAAAGAAGCAAATTTGTATAAAATATTATTTTATCAACTTTATAAGAAAAATAATTAATTTGATATAATTTGTAATAAAATTGTTACAACTTCAATTATATATAACAATATTATAAACTTAATTTAATTATATAGGTACTTAAATATAAGATTATCACAACTTGAAAATATTACGATTTAAATACAATATATAGTTCTAAACTGGAAAAAAAAACAAAATTTACATAACAAATGAAAAAAAAAAAAAAACATTACAATAATTGCAACACATATTATATTTTTATAAACAGTAAATGGAATGAAGTATACTTAAATTGTAATAAACAGGCATAGCAATAGTAATTAAAACTACAGTATATAAATAGATGATTATATAAGTATAAAATATAACATTTTATTTAATATAAATATTATAATATTACTTTATGATTTAAGGTTTATGGGTTCACTAAAATAAAATATATTTATATATTAATAAACTTAAACTAAATAATTATTTCTATCTAAAAAAAAAAAAAAATTAAAGCTGAATATCTAAGAAATGTATTTTAATTTAAAAGTGAATTTCAAAATATGTTAATTTTACAACAAAATTAACTACGCCACTAAATGATTTAATATAATAAACCCTTAACTTAGTACTGTATCTTTTGGATACACTATGTTCTATAAATACTAGAATTAAATATTTTAGCATTTGTGTATTGTACACACTAATAAACAATATTATAATCACGTGGTGATGTGTTTTTGATATTGCCATAAAATACCTAACCAAAATATTAAGACTTACATAAAATTGAATCAGGTACATCTCAATATAATTATGCTAATATTTTAATTATATTTATTGAGTTTTTTCATTTTATATGTATTTTAAAAATATTTATTCAAAAAGATAATAATTAGAAGGCTCTATTTATATTTACATTTCATATGTATCCAAAAAGATATGTTGCTAGAAGACTCTATTTTGTTAATATCCATAATTGCTAAAATTAAACTTATTTTTATGGATAAATGATGACTTTGTAGATCTCTTAAAATATTGGCAATAACTACACTAGAAGATAGTGGTAAAAGTTCTGATGAAGAAAATATCATAAGCATAGTTCAAATTATTTGCGAGGTGGGGAATCAATGGTATGGTATATGATTTTTTGCCCTACAGTGATGAAATTACATTTGATAAATTTACTTTCTGTGATTATAAAAACAAATATTTTGGACTTGGCTCAAAGGAAATACTTGTATTCCCAAACACTACACCTATTAAAAATTTTAGTGTAAAATTTTTTTGATAATTTTTCACCACTCTGAGTTGAATTATCATTTAAAAGAAAACTACAGAATTCTATATTTTGGTACTGTTTAAGAAAATAGACTTCATAATTGTCCTATGTTAAAAGAGAAATAACTTTTTTTAAAAAAAGGAAAAGGCAGTTATTCCTATAAATGTGATAAAAAAAAAAAAGCCTTAGCTCCTAAATGGCTAGATAATAAATTAGTTTGTTTATTCTTTTGTGTTCTTACATCCCATAAAGACAGTAAAACAGTATTCAAAATTTTCAAAATGTTATGCAGATGTTCCAGTACCTAAAATAGTGAAACAGTATAATTCTCATATAGTTGTGGACTTGACTGGCATACTGGTGACATTGTACAAAACAGAACTTAAGACACACAAATGGTACATGACAGTGCTTTTACAAATGTTTGATAAGGGTACCAGTAATGCTAGGTTATGTTATCAACAAGATTGTCATCCATTCAAACAACAAAAAGTAAATTAAATCAAAGAAGTAGACATTCAAAAGTAGGTAAAAAATTATAAGAACAGTTATACCAAGGTCTATTGATGATATAAAATGTAATAAATATGACCACTTCCTTGAAAGAACATCATAGGCAATTATTTTAAAAACCACCTAAATTTGTATGAAATGTAATACATGTACTATATACACTAAAAAAAAAAGAAACAGCTTTAATGATTTTCATACAAAAAAATTAAACATGTTTCTATAATAATTCTTAGCTATTTGATGATTTTTACAAATTAATTTATACATTTTTTTAAATTAACAATAAATATTGTTAAGAATTGAATAATTATATAGTTATACATTTTATTTTGTTATTAAGCAATGAGAAAATTGCAGTACTAATTTTGTTCATTATATAATTTATAAATTGGTTTTTTAATAAAGAAAAATGTTTTATATTTTTAGACTGTCTAATAAAACATTTAATCCATAAACACAGAAGTGTTATGTGTTATTTATCTATCTGATAAATAAGCTAGGGAACTAATAAAAAAAAATTGTTTAATTTGTAAACAATTGTAAATAATTTTACTTCTTGTAATTTTGTAAATGGTTTGTAGCAATGTATCTTTTAAGGAACAATTCCTAACTTTAAACTTTCAAGTCCAATATTGTTTTTGATAACTTTTTTGGTTTCAACAACCTCAAGTTAGTTTAAAAATATCTACTTTGTAATTTTCACTTTATTTTCTTGAGGCTTGACAAGTTAAGGGTTAAAAAACATAGTGAACTGGTAAAAATTAATATAGTAATATAATATTAATACTTAATAGTATACAAAAACTCAATTTTTTTTTCTGTCTATCACCAGTGCAATATAGCAATGAAGGAAATCCATAATTCCATGATTGTAATTCTCTGGCTCAATTTAAGGCACAATGTGAGGGATACTTATACACTTACAACATAGTAATGTAAACATTTTATTTCCAATGTACCAATTGGTCTATTAAAGGGACAAAAATAATGAAAACAAGTTTGAATGTGTTGTAAAGTATACTTAAAATTGACATACTCAATTTTTTATTTTTTTTATTTTAATTTCTCCAAAAATTAAAATATTAATATTGATTTAATTACTCCTTTTTTTTTTTAGTATTTATAATAGTACAAAATCAAAAATGTGGGAAAGGTAATTGGAAATAGATAACAGGAATTTCAAATATGTTTTTAGAAATAGAACACATCTCAAATCCTATGTTGCACATGTGCAAGACAAAGACAGAAAATCATAGAACCCAATCCCAAAGATAACAAAAGTAGAAATTATTTTAGGATAACTTTGATGCTATATTAACTGCTAGACTGGTAGAAAAAACAGTTTGTAATGAGGCCCAATAACATCTAGAATAAAATAATAATATAGAATTTGATCTAAAAAAATTAACAAGTTTACTTATATAACATGATTTGAAAAAAAAAAAATTATATGAACTAAAAAAAATATAATCTTATTATTGGCACATTATTATTTCTTAAGTTTCTCATAAAATTTTTGATAGTAAATAAAATGGATAAAATTTAAAATAATAACTCCTACATTTTTCAATTTTTTTTTTACCTTTTTGCCAATCCATATGAAAACTTATTGGGAAATTAAAAACTACATATACCAGCTAGAAATTCCCAGCAAAACTCATCCAAAAAAGCCTCAGGTTATTTTTTGAGTGGCCCAAGATTTCTGGTTACTTACAGACAGACAAAACTAAAAATAAATGTACATTATAAAAAAGTGAATCAGTATTATAACATTTTACAAAACTGAAGAAAGTATAAGAAACTAATTAACTAAATTTTGTTTATTATAAGAAGTATTTACAACATACAGTAAAAAGCAGACATATAGACCAACAAAAAAAATGAACCAATTTATGAACATGAATATCTTAACAAGCTTAAAAAATGGTATCCAAAGAAAATAGTAGCACAAGAAGAACTAAATGCATAATCCGATATAGATTTAAATCATTGATTATTCATGAAATTATTAATATTATTTGTAACATAATGTCAATTGCAGATAAAATTTAATCTCAAAATCAAGTTGAATTGTACATTGACAAAGATGATACTATGAACTTAACTTTTGAAAATGAAACCACAAAAGGAGTGTAGAAAATAGTTTCCAATGTAAAGAATAGGAATAAGAATAAGAATCTAATAAAAGAAAATTAAACACATTGTAAACTTACTTTAATAAAAAAAATATAAGGACAAATATTCACTGTGAATGATTTAAGCATTAAACATAACTCTTAACCTAACCTTACCTAACCTATTGAAAATGTTCATTGTAGATGATAAATATTTATGAAGATAAATTAAAGGAAGTCGTTGTTGAAACAGCAGATACATTTGTAGATGTGTTGACACCAATTACAGTTCTGATTCTAATTCTGAAAAGATACATTTTAAGTTCATTTTAATAAAACTGTATTAATAATACTATATTGTCTATATTATGTATATTATATAGTATAATATAATAATAGTATATATATAATTTGTATACTATAATATTTGTATGAATTTGAATGTACAATCTTTATCAACTAGCAAGTAAAATAACAATGTGGATATACATGGTTAGTTTAAAATATTCAAATGAAATAGTATATGACTTTGTGATTAATAAATTTAATGTTAGTAAAATTTGACAAATTATTTGAGACAAAGTTATTTAGAGAATTGTGGAAAAAAATCAGTAACATATTAAAGCTATTCGAAATGGTTAACATTTTCATAAAAATGTCCAATGATCCAATTAGAGATGTAATTAATCAGTCAAAGAATAGTTAAACAAAACCACAAAAGGTTAAAACCCATTATAAGGACACTTATTTTTTTAAGAAAACAAGATACCTCTCCAAGATCATTGAGATGATAGTTCCATTTTTAATAATTCAAATTAATTAATGGAAAATGAAGGCAATTTAAGGGAATTAATTACATTTTATATTGAATGGTAACTTGGCACTTAAATCTCATATTGAAAATATAGAAATGCCTACAACAAAAATTAACAAAACTACTCAAAACCAATCAATTTCAATTTTAGGTGACTCAATACTTCAAACAATTTTAGAAGATGTGAAAAGAAGGCCATTTTACAGTATTATGTTTAATGAAATAACAGACATGAGTCATACTTCTTAACTTGTTATTGTCATAAGTTATGTCAAAGACAACAGTGTTTGTGAAAACAAAAAAATGTTTATCTTAATACAGAAGAATCCAAAATAACCGAAATGATTGGCCAAACAGTTTTAAATTATAATTTACAAGTTTTCATTAAATTTAGATTATGTTTGTATATCTACTAATAATTGTGCTATTATAACTGGTTTAGAACGAGGTGCAGTTGAAACTTTATAAAGACTTTTACAACACAATGTGGATGTTTTAATCATATGCTTCATAATTCTTAAAGGTTGTTATAAAGTAATGCATTTGGAACAATTTCTGAAGTTGTAGCATTTTTAATTCATCTGTTAAAGGAAAGTTTGTATTAAATAAATGTTTGGAACAATCTTTACATTCACTGAGTCAAACTGGATGGGTTGAAAAACATGATTGAATTTTTCGGTTTTCTACATCTAAAATTAAAATTATAGAGCCTTAGATAGTATCTCTGAATGGTTTAATAGTGGCATCTACAAAATCTCACTAAAATCTTTCAAAATCATTAACATGCTGCAAATAATTTATAGTAACTTTGTATGTCATTTCAATTATATTTACTATAACTTCATCAATTAGTGGCTTATGACAATTAAAAAAAAAAAAAGACTAACTTTCTGCAACCAATAAGAATAATGATTTATTTTTTGAAATATTTGATGTGTGTAGAAACACTTTTGAAAAGTAAAAGATCTCTGTATACCTGCCTCCACTATGTATTAAAATGTCAAAGATATGAAATCCAAATATTAATGATCCAGTTAATTATTATTGAAGCACAATATTCATCCCATTTATCAATAATTTAATAGACAGTGATGAAATAATTTGAATTTTCGATTTGGATTTGTTTTTACTTATTGTCTTGACAGAGCACTTTTGGGTAAATGTATTATTGTCAATAAAATAAAAAATTTAATGGACAAATTTAGGGATCTTCTATCTAAAGATCACTGGTCAAAGACAATTGAAACTAAATTAAAGGGATAAATTAAATTATGGTATGAGGTTTGGATAAACAATAGTGAAATAAAATCAAGTGAATTTTTGGATACAGTAATTGATATCACCAAAATATTGTGAAGTTATATTATATCCATGTATTAAAGATTTTTGAATACAATAATGTAATACAGTTACAATTTACCTTAACATCAAATTAAATTATTCAATAACAATAAATGGATTATCATTCAGTTGGCACACCTTTACAGCTATAGACTACAAACAAAAATATTTTGCAACAATTTGCAACTACAATTTTAAAAAATGTTTATCTGTAATGTGGAATGTTGGTTTGATGTCCATAACTTTAAGTGAGGTAGCCAACTTCATGGATGTTAAAAGTGAACCAGCCTTGTTAATATTTTATAAAACTGAAGTATTAGTAACAAATTTTTTACATTTTGTTAATTGTAAGAAATATCCAATAATTATCATGAAAATAATTCTGATAAAGATTGACTAAATGATTGCTGTAACAACTATTGATAATTTTAAAAGTAAAAAAAGACAGGGTTCATTTATTAGTAAAAATAAATGGCATTTCATAAAATATTTCATACAATTATCATATATCTAGTTATCTTTTTAATCATATCACTTATTAGGTTAATAATAATAAAAAATTTGTTTGAAACTTATGCAAAGATAATGTTTTATTATAAAATGAAAAAAAGAAGTATAATATTATTTTTAAAAGCATGTATTTTAATGGTTTTAATGTGCATGTAAAAGTATATCCATTTCCTAATTATATTACTAGATAAAGTATCATATACTTCATATTATAATCACATCTAGTGATAATTTCTTATTATAAATATAATAAGAGTACATTTGTTAATAATTTGCATTGCCCAGATATTTACATTGACATTTATCTACAATTCCATATTACCATAAATACTTATATTTCCATATTACTACTATAATACTATTATTATACAGTTAATATTCATAATATTAGTATAATAATATAATTTTTTAATACATAACAATAATCAATAAACTTAATATATTTTAAATGGAACTATAAATTAAAAATACTAATAATATTAACGATAATGAAACTATCCTAATGATAATTTTAAATGTATACAAAATTGATGAAATAACCAGCCTTAAATTATATATATTATAATAAATGTTCAAATAATACCTTTATAAAACTATTCAATCTAAATATTCATATGTAGCAGAAACACTCTAAAAAAAAAAAAATATACATATATATTTTAATAAGTTTTTAAAATAATTTATTGATATATAAATTAATTTTACCTCCAATTCTGGTGCATTATCATGCAAATGAGAAATATGACATGACCGGCATAACAAATGGGAGTCTAATGGATAACATCTTTTATCTGGCTCATCTGTCAATTGCATTCCACACTCCTGAAAAATATCAAATGTTTAAGTAATATAGATCTCTTTAGAACAACATTATACTGAAGTTCAACTTATTTTTAAAGGTTTTAAGCAATATCAATCTACCTACCATTTTACTAATATTATAATAATATGGACAAAATAAATAGGTTATTTAAATATTTTATAAGCATAAAAGTATAGGCTATCTAAAAAAAATTTGACTATGACCAACCCCTAGAATTAAAATAATATTAAAACTTTAAATGTATTTTCATAAATACCAAGATCAAGTTAATATTACAATTGAATTTTTTCATTTGTGATCTATAGCTCAAGTATATAATCTAAAACTCTTACTTATACTAAATTTTATTTTTATTTTTTATTGGCCTTTTAAATATGTAAAAAGTTTTATTTTATATTTTATAATAAATAATTTTAAATTAGTATACACATATTATGCAAGACTATAATTAAGACAAATTATTATTTTTTAATATTAAGTAGAATAATATAAATGCACTTGGCTTGAGTACACCTAAGTTCCTTAGGTGGTTATGGAAATACTAAATGAACAAGAGTTTGAGTTGTATGTAATAACTGATATTAAGAGTTAAATTGTAAGAACAATATTAGTTATACATGAAAAAATATTTTTAAGGCCCCCTATTGTTGGGACTTAACTAAATTATTACACACACATTGTATTCCACACTCCAGTATTATGCCTAGCTAAGAAAACCACTAAATGGTGCTGAGACTTGTTGGTGAAACTACCATTACAACAGTAAAACCAATTTCCAAAAAATAACCACTTAATAAGTACTCAGAATACACTTATTTTTTTTTTAATTTTATAAAAAATATTTACCTCACAGATAAAGCAATCAACATGAAAATCTTTATCCATTGATACAACTCTTACAGTTTCTTGAGTACCCTGAAACAAAAGTTAAATTTAATTATGCCAGCAAAAAGTAGTTATTTTAATGAATACTTCGACAGGAGTAATTCCTTTGCCACAAGCTGCACATTTAGGAGCATATTTTCTGTAATTAAATAGAAAAAAAAATATTAATTATTTTAATTTATTAAATTGATAATAGTAATCACTACTAATTTAACAGAAAAGGAATCTTTTACAATTTACAAAATATAAAATCCCAAATATGTATATTTAAAAATGTAAAAGATTCTATATCAAAGTCAATTGTCAATTTCTTTAAAAATTAACATTTGGTTTTTATCCAGTGATTTAGAGTGTAACAGAATTATTAAAATAACTACAATAAAATGGTTATTATTTTCAGTACAATATTTTTAAATTCATTTTAGAAGTGACAATAATACATAGTATGCATTTTTTTATATAAACAAATAATTAATGCAAAATGAATTACATAGTAAATAACCAAGACATAATCCCCCAGCATATGTAATGGCATATAGAGAACATTAATTTATCCAAGGTAATTTTTTTTATGAACCAGTAATTTAAAAGATCTTGACTTTAAGCACTATTTTCCAGACGAAAATAACCATAAAAAAACTGTGGAAAATTAAATTTGAATACATTATTATTATTTTATACTAATGGTTTCCATAAGAATACATTTGTACTGGTAAGATATTTTTAAGTAAACACCCTAATTTGCAACAAATATTATTAAAAATAAAATTGATTATTCAAATATTCTACTAACCTGTGATAATCAGTGACACAATATATTTTGTTATCAATATCTACAGTAAATGGTATACCATCCAAACAACCATTACAGACACAACATCGAAAACAACCTGGGTGGAATGATTTCCCCATGGCTTGTAAAATCATTTCCATTATCAAATGACCACATATTGAACATTTCTCAGCTGTCTGTTGAAATCCAATATACTAAAAAAAATCAAATAAATACAAATTAATAAATACATTAACATTTAAATATCATTATTCATAAAGAATTATTAGACCAGTTTTATATGATATCTATAAATAAAATGTATTAAAATATGATATTATAATCAATATTTAAATAATGTTATCCAATATAATTATAATGAAGTTAATTATCAAATTATACAATAAACCAGATAAATTATATATATTAAATGGGTACTTCTAAATTTAATTTAATTTAAATCCGTATGAAAATGTTGACAATATTATGTATAAAATATGTACATGTTTACTATGTCCTATGAACCTAATTTACAATTGTCGAAAAACTCCAAAATATGATTTTGGGATAATTACATTTTATTAAAAAAAAAAAATAATATATATTTAATTATTTTACCATATGACATATATATTATTGAACATGCATCACTATTAATAGAACTTCTCTGAGAATAGTTTTTTTTTTAGCAATGATTCATCATTCCTTCAGATATGCATTAAATTCTTTTCTGTATCCTATCTTCCTAATTTCCCACCTATAACAGTGGTTACACCCGGCCCATTACCCTAGGACAGTTTTTTAATTATTAATTTAGATATTTTTTTTTTTAAATAAAGTCTTAATGCATATTTTAAACAATATTTTCTTTTAGAAAAAATGTTATACTTGAAATTTGGAGAGGGCTATTGGTAGAAAAAGTGTTCACATAAAAAGAAAATAATACAAATCACTATTGTTTTATACAATACATTTCTCTCTCAGTTCAGAATTTAAAATCGTTATTTTCCTAAATTTATTCATTCTTTCTACGATTTTGATCAATTATTGAATAACCTTCAAAGAAATGTATTTTGTTAATTTTCTATTGGAGCAATAAGTCTCGTAGATAACATAAGTTTACAAAAATACAAAATCATAAAATCTTTAGGCCATACATATTTGTTCCTGTGTCTTTTCCCAATCAATATGAAAACCCTTGGAAGGATAAAAAGGGGTACACTTGATACATTTTGACACATATTACTTGTAATAAACTTTCTAATTCAACCAACAAATGACTGAAATCTATTTTTAATAGTAATCATAATTTTAAAAGATTTGATATTATTGATGGGTGTAGCATTGTTGTAGATGGAAAGTTAGGATACATTGTTATTTAATTTATACATGCACATACATTTTTGGTTAAGACAGTAACAGACAAAAAAGTAAAAAATAAAATGCACACATAAATAAAACATTATAAAACTGCGCTCAAAATCTATAACTATAATTGAGCATGTTTTAATATTATGAGTTCAATATTTAAGAACTTGAAATTCATCAAATAAAATTTAGTAAATTGAATTATTATATATAAAAATGAGAACTAAAAGTTAAAAATAATAAAAATGTTTGTTGTAAATTATATACAATTTAAATCAGAAAATTAAATAAACAAAAAATGTTTATGATTGATAAAAATATTTATAAAATTTAAATAGTTAATACCATGTAATCTTCTTCACAATACACTCTTCCATATACATTATAAAACGCTTTACCACGAAGTGCACGACCACAAGCACAACATATAAAACAATTGGTATGGTATAAATTACCCATAGCTTGACAAGCCTGACCAGCACCAGTAACTTTGTTACCACAAGTATGACATATACCTAAATAAAACAATTTTTATTGTATAAGTACAAACAATACAATATATATATCTATATTTATCTATAAATCTATATTTTATAAAAACAAATACAAAACAATAAATATACACACCGAAATATTCTCCACCCACAGCAACTTCTTGAGTTTCCATCTGTTCTTCAAGCTGACGGGTCAATTCTTCGATTTTTTTTTCTGCCTCAGTGGGTCCCTAAAATATCAATTAATATTAGAACAATATAATAAGCATCAATAAATTGAAATTAAATCTAATATTACATAACAGTATGGGTTACATAAATATTAATATAATCCTATCATATATGGAAAAAATAGTTTAAAAATATTATATTGATGTGAAGAATATTGTACTATTATAACATTAATAAAATACCATTGGACGTGGCGGAGTGACATTGTAAGGTAGAAGATTTTTGGCCATGTGTTTGACCTTGATAGGTAATGCAGGTGGTGTTGGTGATGTCCTTGTCGATACATCTCTATGATGTACTGGTGATTCTCGTTGACATGCCGATACAGTTTGAAACATTTTAGGCATAGTATTTTGTGGTTTTTGAGATCTAGATTCAGCGAGTGCCGGCTGCCCTACAACGCACATTTGCGATGATACACTAGTTGACTTTGTTGGTCTGTTGACTTCTGTTACTGGATCTTGAGAATAACTCACATTATTAGCAGAATTATATGATCGCATATTATGAGGGTTTGTTTCAGTTGAATAATCTGACAATGCTTTGATCGCTTGTGGAACTATCATAGGTATAGGTTTTATGTATGGCATAGCATGTTGAGGAGGGTATCGGCTACTGTAGTCAATAGACTGTGATGGTACTTGTGGCCCGGGTTTAGCTGGTTCATAGCAATTTGAGTTTTTATTAGTTTCTGATAAAGTTTCATAAACAGGAGGTGCTTCGTAAGGTGGGACTTCTTTTCCCATAGGCGGAATGTATTTGGGATAGTTAATTGGAACTTGAGGTTGGGCCTTACGGTAATTGGATTCATAAAGTGCCAATGAACCTTCACTCGAAACTATACTGGTTCGGGGACTGGAATGTCTAGAGTCTTGAGATCCGCCACTGGAATGTGAACCCGGTCTAGGTCTTTGGTGGTAATATGTAGGTGTTTGAGATAACGAACGGCCACCATAAAAGTCGACATTTTCATATAATGGAGACGATTTCATTTCATGACCAATACTGGACGCAATACTAGCACGCGGACTTGGCGAATCTCGATTGACTGTTGAAGTACTATAGGGCGGCGGACTTGATAATGAAGGTTTTAATACCATGTCACTTCTAGGATATTTACCTAGATCCATGCTGGATTGAGTGGAATGTGACGTATGTCTATAACCGTTCATACTATCGATAGAATTATTACTTTGTAATCTACTATCAGTACTGTTACACAAATCCATTGATTTGTTATATGAAAACATTTTGGAATGCGTTGGAGATTTTTGTTCGTTAATTTTTAAATTTGAAACACAATTCATTATATAATTATTGATATCTTGGTCGGTCAGTACAGCTGGTTTACCAGTGTTCATTGAATTTGATTCATGTTTTAATAAAAGTTTTCCATAATCAATGTTGGGAAATATTAATTTTTCATTTTTCTTTTCAGGGCTGGTTTTTTCATGTGTACTTGGTGAATAGTTGTTCCTCTGACGTTTGTCCATTATAATTATTTAACTGAAAAAGAAAGTACAAGAATATTATAAAATCATGTAATTAATTATGAAAATTTAAGAAACTTAGATACCTATCAAATCAATTTACTAATAATTTTGTTTTTGTTGTTGTTGTTGAGAGCACCTAACTTAATCTTATCAGATAATACAAATAATGGTATTTGTTTGGTACCTAGGTATATAAGGATTATTAAAATAAGACAATTATTTGTCAATGTTTTAATGCTAAAGACATACAGCTTAGCAGTATATGTATTTATATTTTAATTAGTCAATATACCTAGTTTTGTAGTCTTTGTACCATTTTACTTAAAATTTTAATTTATTTATTATTTCCTACATATTGCATTATTTAGTCATGTTTACAATTTTATTTATAAAAAGCATACAACAACATGTTTGTTTTTGGTAATCATAATACTGTTCAATGAACAAGTTTTTCTATTTAATAGAAAAATAATTATTAAATAAATATCAATAATTGACAAAATTATCGGATATTGAAAAAAAACTTGGTAACACAATATACTTAGATACACGAGATTTGATTTAGTTTTAAAATAAACGTCTTGTACCATAAAAAAAATGTTGCTAGGTATATAATATAAAAGTAGCTATAGCTTATAGCAGTGGTCTTTAACCTTTTTGGACTCATGACCTATTTTTTTTAGGCGTACATTATTCGCAAACCCACATAAGGTACACAAAAAGAAAAAAGATTGTAGAAAAACAAAAGAAAAAAAATCTAAAATTATTTAATACTTTGTAGTAATACTGTTATAACTAAATAAATACAAATTTCAAAAAACTTTTAAAACAGATACGTAAATATGACTAGAATAATATCGCAACTAACATTTATTCGTCTTTAAACACAGCGACAACATTGACAATGTTCGTAGATTATTGGACTCTTTAACGATAATAGTTATTTTATTATTAGCCTGGTTTACTCATAAATATTTATATTTAATGTCATACTACGTAGAATCATACTAGTATATGAAAAATATACTGCAATTTGAAATCTATTATACTATTATATTTTTGAATATAAATTATATAATATTGTTTATACATAATATATTACAATAATTTTCAAACTGTATTTTCATTTATTAATTTTATAAGTTTAATAATTAAACAATTATTTGTATACCTTATATAATTGTATAAACTTAATTTTTATTTTAAAAAGAAAACTTATCGCGACCCAATTTTTAAGCCTACGCGAACCCATTTATGGGTCGCAACCCACCGGTTGAAGACCACTGATTTAATGTATACCTTTAACGATAATAATATAATATATTTATTTTATTATTAGCCAAGTTTACTCATAAATTATTATATTTAATGTCATACCACTTAGAATCATACCAGTATATGAAACATATACTGCGATTTAAAATCCATTATACTATTATATTTTTGAATATAAATTATATAATATTGTTTATACATAATATACTACAATAATTTTCAAACTGTATTTTCATTTATTAATTTTCTAAATTTAATAATTAAACAATTATTTGTATACCTTATATAATTGTATAAACTTAATTTTTTTTTAAAAAAGAAAACTTATCGCGACTCAATTTTTAAGCTTACGCGAACCCATTTATGGGTCGCGATCCAATGGCTTATAGGATATAAGGTTATGAATTGAATTAATGGTAAGTTATCCTCAAGTAGGTACCCATGTAATTTAGCTAATTTAATAACATTTATTTTATTTTACATAGGTACTTCTTTAAAAAAAATGTTTTGATAGCATTTAAACTGATTAAATCAATTTTGTAAATGTAGACTATAGGTACCTAATATAAATCTTGGTTCAACCAATTTCATCAAACTCAAAGTTTTTAATTTACATCAAATATCAATTAAGTATAAATAATTGGAATATTTCCATAATTTGTAAGAAATCATTTTTTTTTTTTCTTTTTAATAATTATATATTTTTAACGAGAACTAAACAATTATATAAATACAAAATGAGAAATACTTAGAATGTATTGTATGTATATTTTACTACAATGTGTACTTATTTTTTTTTTTAATTGTTTTTAATATTTTTTTATTAAGTATTACAAAAAAAAAAAAAACAGTTGTATACATGTTTACAAATAAAAAAAACATACCTACAAAAATATTATTATTTATAAACGTAAGAAAAATAAGTTTTTCTTTGAAGTAAAGTAGGTTAGACAAAAAAAAAGTCATAACTATTAACTACAATAGGCAACTTCCAAAAAGATTAATGTGTGAATATTATTTATACTTGAAATTTCTTCAACTTGAAAAATTATTTATCAACTTGATTATAAAGTATAAAAAGTAAGTACCTACCTATTGTTATTAATCTGCAATAAAAATCATTGACATCAACACACTTAACTAGTTCTAATTCTTATTAAGTTCTGCCCAGCAAACTTTTTAAGATATTTTGTTTACATCCAGATAATTTTACTAACTTTTATAACACCTATATATAAATAAGAATAATGAAATTTAATTTGTTTAGATATGTAGGTACATATCAAGTGACAGAAATACAGAAAAAGAGAAGACATGGTAAAAGTAAAACCCGAAGAAAATTATCACTCGAAAGGGAAAGGCAGAGACACATTTGTTGGATGGTATAGTCTTGAGGCTAGACTGAAGGTAGACCAAAAAACCACAAAGATACATATCAAGTAGGTATTTAAACACAATATATAAATATTATGGTTGTTATATTTGATTTTATGCAACTAGAAGACTTATGCCTTGAGACTTCCTAAGTGGTCATAGTAGCTATCATGTATCGTGTATGCAACCATAACCACTAAGTACTCATTGCCGAAATGCTGTCGCTGGATAGTTCCTCAATCAAGCATACATGCCCTAGTTTATATTATAAAACACTTATTTCGCACGCTATCTTTTCTGCTTATTGTACCAAACATATGTGCAAATTGTCGAATCTTCTAAATAAAAGTAAAAAGTTATAATTTGAATTTAAATATTCAAATACAACATAGCATTCCAGGTAATTAATAGTCGCGCAAGTGATTACAACAAATATCCGAATCTTCATTCGTATCCAGAAGACAAAAAGTCACTCGGGTTGTCTGTGTTTAGTTTTGAATTCCGCTCGAGTACTTACACTACCCACATACTTGGTGAATAATGGACCGAAAAGAGGTAGATGCTAACATTGAACATCGACGGGAAAACCGTAACAACGAGGCATCGATGACAATAAGGACTGTCCAGTACGGGTTTAGGACAACACTGTCTTAACCGTCCCCCCCCGTGAGTAGGCACTTACTGAGAATCGTTCAAAATGACGGGCTGATGTGTGCGGTTAGCGGCATAACAGTCGATCCGAAAGGTGCACAGCTGCTGCTGTCAGACGGAACAGGGTTTTACTGGTGCGGCAATATTGTGACTGGCAACTGGCAGCGGTGTCCGACGGCGGTAACGTTGGACGACACGACGAAAAATCCTGGAGACGACGCACAACACGAACGACAATCAGAGAAACAATAATAATGATAATTCATAAAGACGAACAGTGGTCGCTGAATGCGTGGTGTGTGATATGATATTATAATCACGGATTCGGGTGGGGGGCCGGTGTGAGCCCGAAGGTCGGAGGGGCCGCGCGCAGGTACGACGACGGTAACAAACTACGAAACTACAACAACGGAAAGCGAAGGAGCGTCGCGGACTCCCTACCTACCTACGTACGCTACTACAACGGTGGTCGCACACTCACACGCCGGCGCGTACACGAAGACGGCGTATAACGTAATGGAACGTAACGAACTAACGAAAAGCGATACGGACAGGTGGCCGTCGCCGCCGATCAATGTGACCAACCGTTTCGGCGGGCCGAAACGCTCGGGACCCCGACTCCGAGGACGCGTAATTTTCCGAACGGATATTCGCCGGCACGAGTAATCGTAAAATTCGGAGATTTGTGATCTATTTAACGTAGCTCGGCCGCGATTAAATAATTGTCATTGGCAATGACTCATTGCGGGCATTAATGCATCATAGGTACTGGCCTAACAGGACGCCACTTTAAAAATGAGTTAACTATACCTACCTATTATTAAGATATACTGTGAATAGTTTACGTGTTAGATATAACTTTTAAAAAAAAAAAAAAAAACAAAAATTTTAAAAGGGAATCTCAATCGGCGACAAAAAATCAGGTGTCTACTGACAATCCTTTGGGGATTAGGAATTGAATAGTGTATTTTAGGTATTTTTGAACCCCACTCTAAACATCAAAAAATTACCTCCTTAAAGTACCTGTCCAGTCAGATTTCCTTTTAAAAAAAAATGCTATCATTGGAAATTGAATCAAAATTGTTCTTATAAAAGTCGTTCTCAGGAAAAAAAAGGCTGAAATATTTTTCAACTAATACCTACATTTCGTACATTTTCCCGGTTATCCTTCGTTTTAATTCGGTTTTGTACATTTGATGAGAAAACTCCAGAGTAAATTAAAAGATGACCTCCTTAAAGTACCACCTCAAGAAAATTTCCTTTCAGAGTCTACATCGTATGTACATCGGAGGTAGCTTTCTGGTAGAAAAGTTGTCCACAGAAAAAAAAACAACACTGATTAAATAAGTGTAATATTTTATAAATTAATATATTACAAAATTAAACAATAAATCATCGTAATTAATACTAACATATTACATATAGTGTTGCCTGTAGGTAGGTATATATATATAAATAAATATTATAATAATACTGTTAGCGAACAAGTGTTAAATATTTTAACTTTTGTGTGTATAAAATAGGTACCATCTTATGGAAGAAAATAATTAACTAAAAAAAAATGCACTGAGCTGGTGAATTTATTTATAGTATTCCCCTTATATTACAAATAAATAATGAAAAAAAATAAAAAAAGGTTTAGTACACTAAAATGTATAATTCTAATTTCACCTATGTTCTGTATTCTTCATGTTAACAAATAATATAAATCATTACCAATAACAGAATCAAATACTTTTTTGAAATGTATATTTTCATGAACATTACATCACTTTGTAATAGTGAAACAAATTGCAAACTTATATTAGTATATTATATTCATAGGATTATTAGTTTACTTATAATAACAATAATAATAATATATTTTGTAAAAATTAACAGGTAACACATTTAATAGACACTGTTCACATAAATTAAATTGCAGCACTCCTTATTAGCCAAGTTTGTGTTGAGGGAGCGGTTCTCATCAATTACAATAATTGGCGGTACCTACATAAAATAACATATTGTAATTATTGAGATTAGAATATGAAAAATATAGGTAGTATGCAATATAAAAATTAGAAAAAAGGCTAAAATAAAGAAGGGAAACTATAGCATAAGTAAATACATAGGTAGATTTAAAAATTACTAATTATAATAATTATGATAATAAATTACCTATATATTAAAATATTAGATAAATCAAGACTCTCGACACAATTTAGTTACCTACAATTTAGGTCATGTTAAGTTAGACTTAACATAACCTTTAGGTCTTTTGTGACATCATAAGTACCTATGCCATGAAAATCGACTCACTCAGTATTTATTTCAGGTGGTGTCTGAGGGAGGGATATAACCCCCCACCCCAGCAGAAAAATAAAATGTACACTACCCCCTGAAAGTGTACATGTGATATGATATGATACGTGAAATGAATTATTGGCTGATTATGAATCATCTTGTTAACACTAAAATTTAAAAAACTGATATTGGGGATGGGAGCGGCCACTGTTGTAGGTGAGAAGTTGAAAAGGTAGGATACATAAAGTTATTTCATTTATACCTATAAGCAATGATAAACCATTGATTGACGAAGTACGGTTCTGAGCGCAGTTCAGTAATACATAATTTATGCGATTTTCGTTTAAATTTGATTTCAAAATGCTTTTTTAAAAAAAAAAATCGTCCTATGATTTTTGGAAATTTTACCACGTCTGGATAAGTCCAATATAAGTATTATTACCAAATGTCAAGTCTCTACGTGTATTTATTACCGTATTACATCAAAAAACTCTCAAAAATTAAAATGCATCAAAATCTCAAAAGTTTTGGTGATGATACCGTTTGAAAGTAAATCAAAAGGTAACAAAAAAGATGTGATTTTTTGATTAAATCATTTTTTCTGGTAAAAAACGTTGTCCGTGTTTTTATAAAATAATGAAATCGTTAAATTGTATGTTTTCCTACGTTTTTCACCATTTAAGTGCTTTTATTTAAAATTAACCTACTTCTTTTTCTCCAAGTGTAAAAAGTTCTAGATCCGACTCTACCTTTGACATACTCCCTTGGGAATTAACGATACACCCTCGGGGAAGAGGGTCTGAAATAAACACTAGACCCACTTTTACTGGGTTATCAACATACATACATCGTGTATAATTAATTCTCAGCTATTAAATGAAAGAAATTGTTTGCATCTGATTGAAACTGTAACATACACAAACTATTTTTATTTTATAAATACATGTACAATTAAATACTATAAAACCATTGTTATTCTTATTGGTTTATTTTAGATTCCGAGTGGAGCGAAGAAGCGTATGGTTTTACAAAGATGTTTTTTTTTTTTGTTTGTTCTATGAACAACTTTTCTACCAGAGATTTTGCTCAGATTTTAATGTGAAAGGAAATCGGTGTGGGAAAGTACTTAAAGGAGATAATATTTCGATTTTAACAAAAGTTTTCTCATCAAGTGTAAAAAACTAAAAAAAAAACTGAGGAAAAACGGGAAAATGTACGAAAAATATTTACCGTACAATAAACGAATTTTTCTTCTGTGAACCACTTTTCTAACAACAATAATTTGCTTTAATTTAAAATAATAAGTATCAATTATAATGAGTAAATACATCTATCTATCTGCAAGTTTGGGCAAGTTCAAACCATTAAACACATTGTTGAGATATGCTCCCTAACAAAATATGAAGAAGGAATAGAAAGGAGTCCATAAAGAAGATAGTGAGGCACAACAGTGGCCTAAAGTATGCCTCTAGTGATGGAAATACGCACTTTTTATTTTAGTGTTATTATTTTTGTTATTATCAAAGATCTATTAGTAATTGATGTAGGTACTAATATATTTATAATAATAATAATAATAAAATATATTATGCAATTAAAATACATACAAATTTATATTAAATATATAATAAATATAAAATAAATCTAAAATAATTTAAACAATATATAAGTAAATGACAACTCCCCCAAGAATACAAGGATTATGATTAAGAAGAGGGAGTCCAAAAAGTTTCCATTTTTAATTTACTAAAATAAATGTATAACTAATAAAAGCTAATACACTAATTAAATTAGGTAAATAAATAAAAATAAATATTAGGCTGTTTTGATTTAACTTTTTTTTTTTTATTAAGACTAGAAATTACTTTCTTGTGATTTCAAACTTAACCAAAAAAAATTTGAGCCCAAAAATATTTTTAAAACTTGCTCATTGCTTATTTAGTTTTTTCATTTAAATAACATTGAAAAGTAAAGATAATTTTAATTAAATCATATTTATTCTTTAAGTACCAAAGTTAGGGGGTTGTGCATAGTCTTTTCTTAAAGATCACAAAAAAAAAACAACATAAGATTCACTTGGAATCAAGTGAAATTGGACTCTTATGAAAAAAGCTCATTTGTAGAAATCTATAAAAAACTTCAGATTTCTGTTTTTATTTTTAAATTTTAATGCATTATTGTCTATGAAGCTGATTTATAACCAAGGACCGATAACAAGCTCTCTTCATAACTTAAAAAATTAATTTTGTTTAGACATTTTTTTAACAAAAAAATGGCTGAGTTACACAACTTTATAATATTTATAAAAAAATTATATAAACTCAATTTGTATAGATTTCTACAAATGAGCTATTCTTATAACAGTAAAATATCACTAGATTCTAAATGAATCGTATATATTTTTTTGTGGTCTTTAAGAAAAACGTATGTACAATCTTGTAGGTTTTGAACTTTAAGAATAAATGTGATTTAATTGAAAATATGGTTACTTTCCCATGTTATTTAAATGGAAAAACTAAATATATTTTTTGGTGAGTTTAAAATCACAAAGAAGTAATTTCCAGTCTTAATTTGAAAAAAATAATTAAAAATCAAAACAGCCTAATAAATGTATATTGTATAGTGTATGAATGAATTTAAATGAGATAAATGTCCTAAAATTTGATGACTAAAAACCTTTAAAGACATCATTTATTTTAAAATGCACCTAATTGTAAATTAAAATAGTAGTTCTTTAATTATGCATTTAAATTTGTATACATATATATATATACAGTGTGTTTCACATGTACCATTTGAAATAACTTTTGTTATATTCAATATTTTTGATATTTTTTTTAAAAATAATTAATAAAAACTTTTATAACAGAAATTTGTTAGAAAGGAAATCTGCCTGGCAGGTACTTTAAGGAGATCATTTTTCGATTTTCTCCAGGAGTTTTACCAATAAATGAGAAAAACTGAGGAAAACATGGAAAAATAGGTATAATATTAAATAAATGTTTTTAAAGAAAATATATAATGCCTATGTAATTATTTTACTATGATATGACATATATATTACTGACAAAGCATCGCTATCAACCGAACTCCGTTCAGAATCTTTTTTCGTAATAAATGGTTTATCGTTGCTTACAGGTATACATTAAATTACCTATAACAGCTGCACCCATCCCCATTATCTTTTTTCTATCCTTTTTGTTCCACCCTAAATAAGTATCAACTTTTGATTTTTAAATTTAGAGATAAATAATGTAGACCAATCATGTACATACCACAAAAATACCTAATAAACTAATTACAGTGTCTTAATAGTTAGATAATCACCCTATATATATCAATAATGTATAAATTCTTGTTAGAGGCTAGACTCATGATCTAATAATCAAAGAACCACTGACACATCCATCTTCAAGATATATCTGTTACCCCTACAACTCCTAACTATGAGTTTTATGTACATAAAACTACATAAAAACCATAAGATGTTGAAAAACTTTGATTAAAAATGTTGAATAAATTATGGAAAATAATAACTTGATTTAAAAATAAAATAAAAATATGTTAATAAATGTCAATGTAAAATTTTAATTTTTTTAAATGCTATTCTATGACAATAAATTACTATGTGTATAGTCTTATATTATTTTCAAATTTGTTCAATATAGGTACTTTTATTATCACTATTACTATATAATATGAACTACATATTTTTTTTATATTTCCTCCCACATTCAGAGCTTCTTCTTTAAAGTACTTACAGGCCTAAAGCATGGTAAATAATGTGGCTGTAGAACATAATTTTTCCTTCTATTTTGTACAATTGTTCACAATTGCTTCAATACATTTCAATTATTTGTCTACAATTAAGACCTGTGGGTTCTACTCTATACCTCTACATTGTTATAAAAATGGTATGGTAAATATAATATAATTATTAATCCATAAATAATATTGATACAAATATATTTGTATTTTGGGTAAAAGTAATCAATACTACAATTTTGAAATCTAGATATCTACATAAAGACATGTAGAAAAACATTTTTAATATAGGTATTAAGATCAAATTTATGAAATATAGTATATATTATTATAGTCATTTAACAATATGTAATATAATAATTACTATCTTAAAAACTTCATGTAATTTTCAAATTTATTCTAAAATAAAAGTTTTTTTTATCTATCTTTACCATTAAAAACATATTCACTAGATGTGTAGTTAAACAATTAGTCTAATAAAGTTATGAGCATCGTCAAAATAATTCAAGTAATAATTACAATACATTCTAGTCATTTCGAGTTTGCTTTTTCATACAGTGAATAACCCATTGCTCACATTATGCTCCCAAATGTATACTTTAAGTGACATCAGTAGATAATAAGGGAGTGTTTGTTTACAAGACTATGAGGCGACCACTATTATCTATAAACCTTGAATAAAAAAGGGATATAACAATTAGTGACGAAATTTCAATACGTCTTATCTTTGACAATTGATAAGAAAAAAGAGAAATAGTTGTAACTTGTAGAAATCATTAGTCATGCCAAAACACCGATATAAAAAACGGACATACTTCGCATGTGGGTGAGTCACTGTTGTAGGTGAGAAGATGGAAAGGTAGTATAGGGGAAATTTAATACATATCTATAATAACACATAATAATTGGGAAAAATCAAAAAAGATAAAATATACGATTTTTTCCAAATGCACCACAACAATTTCATTACCTTTTTTTAAATTATTCACAGATTATGTTTTCTACCATTAATGATAAAATAGGCACTATGGCAAATAATGATGTCCTTCAACTTTACATTCTGTACAAATAATTTCGTCTTCTTTAAAGACAACTTCAGAACATTTAAAACAATCAATTTTATAAAATATTAATTTCTATATTCTACACTGAATTATCAATAAATATAACTCGGTCAATTGAGATAGTGGACGACCGGTCAAAGTGGCTTATAGAAAACCGACCGCAGTGGCCAACTGATTAGAACTGATTATGTTATTATTTTAATTTTATTTTGGTTGTAATTTTTAATTGTTACATGGACAATTAAATTCAATAATATTACAAAGTTAATTTACAAATTGCATAATATTTTAAGTCGTTTAACTACATTTTGTAATCACAGACGTGCGTAGATTTTTGAGCCAGCTACGGCTAAATTTCCTCTAACCACTCACCCTCTCGTGGCTATATCTCAAAGAAATTATAAAAATTGTCCATATAAATTTCGAGATAGACTTCTTGTTGGTGACTGACAAATGTATACATCAATTTTTCATTATGATCATCTATACTATTCATCATTTATGGTTTACTCGCCGTGTGAAAAAGTTATTTTCAGCCCCCGTACCATCACTACGTTTTAAAACGTTTTATACGGCTGACGTCAATCAAATCGGTGTCTCTACATATCTGGGGTCAAATTGTTCTCTTTATTAAGTACTTATCTATAATGTACTCTGTCGCCTGCAGCGTTCAAACAGTCGATTAGTGTCGGTCGACGATGTCGTGTTCGTGAGATTTGAAATAAAATAATTACCTTCGATTACCGAATATTGTAATAGTTTAATATACAATAACTATACATTGTAACTTCAACATAAATATTGAATTTAATGTAATACATCCGTATTTATGTAATACAATCAAGCGTAAACCACTGGCAAAATGAACAAGTGGTCGTGGTTGATGATTAACATACTGGCTTTCGTTCAAACGGTATGTACCATACATGTGTACGAATAATACATAATAATAAACCTACTTAAATAATAACATATAAATGAACACCTATTCGTGTATATGTAATTATTTTTACAACATTATGAAGTTTATACGGGAAACGATAGTAATATAATTTACCAAGGGCCAAAGAACCTCTACGCTAACATAATAGGTATTATGTTGTTTTTTCTGAATGTCTCACGCGTAATAATAGGTATGTAGTAATGTGGTATTCCGGAATTCCGTTAAGAGGACGTTATACAAGCATCTATTGTCTCAGTCCAACTGCCGGGTAACAAACAAAACCAATGCTTTCGCAGAATAAGTAAAACTAGCTTAATTTTAATTATTAGAGTGAAAGTACCTATTATGAAACTTATAGAGAACATTATTTTGGAGGGAACGCCAAAGGGATTTTGTACCATTCAAAAATATATAACTCGATATAAAAGACATAAAAACATTTTTGTTTTGTTTTTTAAATAACTGTAACTTTTTTAATAGCTCATAATTTCAAAAACATCTATAACATTCCCACCAAAATATTGTTTTCTATAAATTTCATAATAGGTACTTTTACTCTAAAATCAAAATTAAGCGAGTTTTACTTAATCTGCGTAAGCATTGTTTTTATTTGTTACCCGGTAGTTGGACTAAAACAATAGATGCTGGTATAACGTTCTCTTAAATTCAAAATTATACTAATTGTTGATTTTAAAGAAACCAATATTTTATCTAAATCTGGACGTCCGGTCGTTAACATACTCCCTCCCCACTGCTGATGTCAATTAAAAAATGACCTTCTAATGTGCTAACTAAATTCAAAATGCGGCAAAAAAGGTCTCTTGTCATTTTGTGATTGGATCAAGATTTTTGATAGAAAAGTTGCTTACGCGCTAAAATACTAAAAAAAAAAAATAGTACAACCAATAGATCTTTAGATTATTAGATCTCAGAACCTAAAATATTATATTAAATTAATGTTTTATAGATTCAATTGTTTAATTCAATAGCCTATGGTACGTCATTAGACTATAATTTACACCAAGAAGAATTTATTCTGTCTCCAAGGAAATTTCACGAGAGACAAAGACGTTCAAGGTTAGTAAATCTGCAAAAAAAAACTAATTTTAAATTTGAATTCAAGGTATGGATTTTTATTGATTTCGGTTTTTCAAAATAAATTTATTGAGGTATCGGTATAAATTCTAAATTTTAAATATATGAAATTAAGTTTTTAAGTTATTAAATTAGGTTTAAACCTATTTTCTCTTTTTTCCTACGGTTTTCCCATTTAATGGGGAAAATGAAAAAAAATACCTCACTAAATTACCTCCCCAGTCAGATTTCCTTTCAGAAAAAATGCTATCATTGTAAATCGTAGCTAGATTTCTGGAAGAAAAGTTGCTCAGTTAAAAAATAAAATAATCATCTTTGTAAAAGCATAGGCTTCTTCGCTCCACTTAAAATCTAAAAACCCATAATATTTTTAAACTAAAATTTACATTTCGCGCATTGCAGGTTTAACTAACCCTTCCCTCTCTTCCACTCTAAATTGTTTCATATTATATTAGGTCTTTATTGGGATAACTCTTTCAGGGTCCCAGGCACCTTTTTTGAGTTGATACTTATATCAATTTCTGTGCCACGAAAGACGGTCGACGATAGCAATACGAAGTCGATAAGACCGACAAAATCCCGTGAATCGTAATAAAAAAATAGAATCCGGGCACGGTCCGACTGTGCCCGACAACGCCGTATTCATTTTTGTCGAAAAGTGGGGGAAATCTAATACCGTTCATCGGCGGCGGCCGTATAATATAGTGTCGTACGTATTGTACGCAGGAGCACCCGTATTTATTTTGATTACATTTTTTTTTTTCTATAATATTTTTAAATAATATGCCAACTATATTATTATGATTGAAACACCAACTCAATTTTAATTTAATATAATTTTCCATCTTTCTTTCAATTTTGTAGGTAGGGCACGTGCCCGTGTGCCCCATAGTACGAGCCGCCACTGGTCATATTTATGTCATCAATTGTGATCAATAAAATAAAAATATGAATTAATAAAATACTGTTTGTATCTAAGTAGGTACCAACTTACTAATTTTGTGTTTAATATAAAAATACAAATTTGATTTTATTAGTTTATATATAGGTACAAATATAAATCTCTAACAAAAACTTAAAGTTTATATAATTAGATGAAAATAGGACGGACATTCTTTGCACGTGGGCACAGCTACTGAAGATGGAAAGTTGGGAAGGTAGGGTACAGACAGGAATGTAATGTATATCAGCTGTAAACAACGATAAACCATTGATTCTAAGCGGAGTTTAGTTGATAGTGTTGCTTTGTGAACAATATATGAGTCATATTATGGTAAAATGATTACAACAATGTACTTTTTCATAACAACAATAATTTTTCAAAATGATTAAAATAATGAAAACTTAATAATAACAAAAAATTTATAAAAACTGTTGCCAATGATAACCTCATTTTAAATCTTTCAATCTTTTCTAACTTAAAGCACCAGGTTTTCTTCATTAGGTATCTCGAATATTAATGAGAATTTAAAAAAAATGATTTCTCCAAAGTACCACCTAAAAAACATTTCCTTTTAAAAAAGGTGCTATACTTGATAATCGGAGTAAGGTTTCTGGTAGAAAAAGTGTTCATATAAAATAAAAAAAACATCACTGTAAAACCAAACAATTACTCGGTCCACTCAGAATCTAATAAATTAAGTTCGTTAGAAAATAAATAAATATAGATATATTTATATTAATATACATGGGGCCCGCAAAATTTTGCACCGGGCCGGCACTGAGTGAGTACCTACCTATCGAACAAAAATTATGTGAAAACATCACATAAAATTAAAATGTCTATAAATAGCTGAAAAATAGATACGTTTTGAATAATTTACCACGTCTAGAAAAGGCAAGTATAAGTTTTCTGTTCAAATTTCAAGTCTCTACAAATATTTAACTGATTCAAAACAAAACACACGAACATACTTCAACCGTGGGTGGGCCACTGTTGTAGGTGGGATGTTGGGAAGGTAGAATACAGACGGGAATTCAATGTATATCTGTATTCTGTAAGCAACGATTAACAATTTAAAATGAAAAATCGATTCTCGGGAGAGTTCAGTTGATAGTTATGCTTTGTCAACAACATATTATGTCATTATATTATGGTAAAATAATTATATAGGTATGCATTAAATATTTTGTTTAATATTGTAAATTTGAACCTATTTTCCCGTGGTTTTTCTATTTATTGAAAAAACTCTTAGGAAATCGAAAATGACCTTTCTAAAGTACCACCCCGGTCAGATTTCCTTTTAAAAAGGGTGCTACACTTGTAAATCGGAGCAATATTTCTGGTAGAAAAGTCGTTCACAGAAAAAAAAATATAATAATAAATACCATAGTAAAATCAATACATTCCTCGCTCTACTCAGAATCTAGAACTTACCAAGTACAAAATGTCCGTGTGACCGTGTATATAGTTAAGGAGACAGATAGATACGGAGTCAACTTGGGGACGGATTGTCCGTTTGCCATGTCAAATGCATTATTATTATTTTATCACATGTTATCATTACTACACACTATCAACTACGGGCCCGGTTTTCATATTATTTGTTTACTTAAGCGTGAGGCGGTTTATTTCACCGGTCGTTTATAGATATTATCCAATAAGTATTTAATTGAATCAATTTTCCCAATATTTAGTTACGCAATGTCTGCCGCCTTGACAAGAAAGAAGATTTCTTTTATAACGGGTAACGAGAAGAAATTACAGGAAGTGTTACAAATTTTCGAAAAGATGTACAATGGTACACTGCCCTTTGAAGTGAGTCGTTATTTATTCTTCTATTAGATAAGTTTTTTTCAAATAGTATACAATTTTTGTTTGTAGTTATCCCGCATGAATGTCAACTTGGACGAACTACAAGGTGACCGTAACTTCATATGCAAAAAAAAGGCGCTGCAGGCATTCAAAATCGTCAAAGGCCCATGTATAGTAGAAGACACTAGCTTGTGTTTCAATGCCTTGGGTGGTCTTCCAGGTAGGATATTGCTATTTACCGTATTACTAGTACTAAGTATGAAAATAATTTTTTCACTCAGGCCCGTACGTCAAGTGGTTTACCGAAGCGGTCGGCCCATCTGGTTTATATCGTATGCTCCAAGGGTTCAATGATAAAAGTGCTACGGCCGTGTGCACAATTGCATACGTCAACCAAGACGGAAAAGTAACCATATTTAGCGGTGAAACTAGTGGCACTATTGTAAATCCAACAACAGAGGAGACCTTTGGTTGGGACTCGTGTTTTCAGCCAACTGGGTATGATATAACGTTTGCTCATATGACTAAAGAAGAAAAAAATCTTATATCACACAGAATCAAAGCAATGAAAAAATTAAAAGATCATTTTGAACTTTTTCTAAATGATGTTTGAAATTTTTACAGATGTTTGAAATTAAAAAATATCTGTTTGTGTTACATAAATATATTTTAATAAAAATAGGTTGTTAATATTTGTTCTTTTTTAAATACCAATGTGAATAAAAAAAAATCAAAGGTGAGCATTAACTAGTTAATTTTCTAATCAACTTATGAACTTAACTAGTTTAATTGACAGTTGAAATAACTTAGCTTTTCTCAGTTGATTTAAAAATAATCCACAAGTTAAATAATTTTGCAATCTTTTGCTTATACCTAAATATTAATATAAAATAAAAATAATTTGGGAAATTAGGAAGACGCAATATTTCTTTGTGATTTACATACTAATTAAAAAAAATATATCAACTTCTTTTAAACTGATTTAAGTTAATTTTTTTTTCGATTTTAACTTTTAACTTATCAAATTAAATTAATTTATTAATTATTAACTTATTGATCTTATCTTAACTTGGTTTAATTATTTTCATTACTTTCCCACCTTTGAACAAAATCATGAGAAACATTACATATTATCAGTGATGATAATAAAAAGTAAAGTCTCAATTTAAAATGTGAATGAATAAATACATGAATAACAGAGTCCATGTACAAATTAATGATAAATGATAATGAAAAATTTTTATTCACGTATAATGGATACACATGAATTTAATATTTATATTTATTTGTTTTGGTGTTATTTACTTATTCAAGGATATTAGCCATTGTTTTAAACTAATTATTATTGTATGTTAGGAATTTGGTATTCTTGTTCATACTAAAATACTAAAATATTCCTAAAAAATTGAAATATATGACGATTCTAAAGTACTTCCCAAATGAATTTTCCTTTTAGAAACATTGCTATCATTATAAGTTGGAGCAAGCTTGTTGAAAGAAACTTTGTGCACAGAAAAAAAAGCGTACAATTTTTAGCTAATACCTGCATTTCTTACATTTTCCTTTTTTTTTTCGGTTTCTCAAATGAGAAAATTGAGAATCAAAAATGACCTTCCTAGAAGTACCTTCTCAGTAAAATTTTCTTTCAGAAAAGGTGCAACACTTCGAAATCCAAGCAAATTTTCTGGTGGAAAAGTTGTTAATAGTTCATAAAAAAATAAACATCCCTGTAAAACCATATGCTTCTTCGTTACATTCAGAATCTAAAAAGTAAATCATAAATCATAAAACATTAAACTAGCTAAATATTAATACTGGGTGTAATTGTACAATGGCTTGCGATATAGCTTTATTTTTATTTTATATTATATTATATGAACATTTTAATTTCAAATTTGGTAAAGGGTTAATACCAAGTCGTGGGTGTGGCAATATTATTTGTATATTTTAGAAATATTGTAAACTTTCTTTCAGTAAACCATTGCATTATTTATTTAATCTGTCTCTTTCTTGTGGTATTTTTCCTAACTTATAGAAAAAATCTTTTATCACCCCTATTTTAAAGTCAGGAAATATAAATAATAGGTAAAAAGTCCCTTTATCATCAAAATCTTATAATATGTATTTTAGTTATTATTTATGCTATATTTATTATTGTTATGTCACTTATCATTTATATGTTTCTTTTCATTATACAAAAGGACTTGTCCTGTTAAGTTGAAAATAAATAAATAAATAATAGTGTTGAAAATACAAATTTATATTTAATCAAAAAATGACATATTAAATTTTCTATTTGAAAAATAAATAACTTAAGAATCATTACTATGATTAGGTTAGCGATTAGCTCATATTCAACTTATTTAGAACAATAATATAAATATTATGTAGACAGAGGCAAAAGATATTGGAATAAAATGTTTGATAAATTGTAATTAAAAAATATATTGATCTGTAATTAGAAAATAAAGTAGAATTGTTTGTTTTTCCATATACTAACCTAAAAAACTATAATATTATAATAAATTGTGAAAACTAAAATTAAATTTAAGGATTAAACATTTTGCAGTTAAAAAACTATGAATTTTAATCAGTTTTATATCATATTCTTATGTATTAATAATTTTGTCTAAAGATAAAGTTTTAGATATTAAACTACTTAATTATTAGGATAAAAATTTAAAATTAACTCTTATGTTCTTAAATATAGTTTCTGTAGTTATTTTGTTAGGTATACTTACAAATGTGTTCTCTATATTGCTGTAGGGTGTAAAATCCTGGATTCACAAAAACTTTGCCATCACAAAGAAACTAAAAGCATTTGAGTTATAGTTAAAATAGAAGAATGGTGATGTGATACATTGGACTGCCCATATTACAAATACAAATAAATGCTCAAATAATGAACAAAAGCACTGAGTTCATTAACACTATTAAGATCAGAAAGTTTAAATACCTAAGGCACATAATGAGAAATGAAAGTAAGTATTCAATATTTCTATCCATTGCTTTGCAAGGTATACTATTTGGAAAGAAAAAATCTAGCAGAATATGAATATCATGGCTTTAAAATCTAAGGGTATGATTTTGAAATAGCTCATTAAAGTTGTCCCATGTTACAACTGATAAAGAGGGGATTGCTGGGATGGTCCTCAACATTTGGAATCGGATAGGCATCTACAGAAGTGACAAATGGTTTAAATGTTGAGTACAATTCTGTCTTTTTGTTTCATCCAATTTCTCTTCAGATACTATAAATAATAAATACATATTAAAATTTAAAACCACTATTATACGATTAATATCTACTTTACAAATAAAATTATGTTTTGTATAGTAAGATCAAATTATAAATTAAATAGTAATTAGATAAGTACTTATTCAAAAACTGTCACAAATTTAAATTACCCATCTAAGATATCCTTTTTAGATTCTAGGCAGGGCCAGTAATGAACTTATTACTATGTGTTTTTTATTTAGTTGCAAACAAGTTGTAAACTAAAATATTTGCTCCAATTATTAACTTAAGTGGCAATTTTAGCACTCATATTTCATCTCTTTTAAATTAAAAATGTTTATCCAAATGATTACAAAATATAATGCGAAATGCAATGATATTTCTTTTTTGTCACCAAAATTTGAAACATTTGGCGAAAAAGCCAAAAATCAGTTAAAAACTAAAATAACTTGGTAATTTAAAATGGCTATAAAAAGCTTTTGAATGTTTTTAAAACTGGACCACATTTGGAAAGGGCTAATATGAACAGTCTGTGCAAATTTGAATAACAAAATTACCTTTCCAACACACCAAATATATAAAATTGATTACCAGATAAAAACAGCACCTGATGGTAGAAAATCTGTCCATAGACATAAATAAAAAGCATACATTATTGTAAAACTAATACATTCTAAGAATCTAAAACACTTGATGAAAAAAAAAAAAAAATCAAAGGTCATAATTAAATTGTATTTAAATGGTTTAAACTGAGGGATAAAAATAATGTAATACTGTAATATTAATTACTTCAAATATGATTAAAAAAATAATACAAATTTAACTTGGTTCATTATAAAAAAATAGTATAAATGTTTTTTTTTTATAATCAATATCCATCACATAAAATTTAATTTTTTAGAAATATCTTAAGACTAGGAATTATATTAATTCCTTAATATATGCCTTTGATAAATTATAAATGATTAAATATTGCTTTAAATAAAATAAAAAGATTAAATAAGGAATAAGTTTGTTTTATTTAAATTCATATAAGTAACATTAATTGTATAATTTGTCCATAAACTGTTACGATTAAAAATATTGACATTAAAACACACAATATTAAACAACACATATTTCTAAAATTAAATTTGACTACATTAAAATAAACTTAATTCATTAGTATATAATATAAATCAATTATAAAATGTATCAGAAGAATAGGATTGTTAAGCCTGTAATGATTAAGTTTAGAAACTATCAATCAGTTTACAAGATAGTAAATAGTAAATTAGACAATTTTCAAACATATTTAGATAGTCTCTACATTGTGATTATAAAATAAATACCTAACAGATCAACAGTAAATAATTTATTAGGTTTTGTTAATTTCAGATGACTATCAATAATCTTTGGTGACTTATAAATATACAATGTTTAAATAATTGACTAAGTTAGAAAATAATATGTTAATAATTGCTAAAAATTTTGATCAAGTTACTAATTTATCTCAATATACACAAATGCGTTTTGAATTATATTCTGAAATTAGTAATATTAAATTATTAAATTTAAAAACATTTAATAAATATAAAACCAGTTATATGGCAATAATAATTAAAAATTGATTACATAACTTTTTTTAGAACCAACACATTTAACATTTTACGATGCTTGAATATTAATTAAAATTCAATAAATGTTACTTTTAAAAAATTATGATAGATACATTTGATTTAATATAATAATAATAAATTATTTTCCTTGTAATTAAAATTATAATTTGTGATATAATTTTAAATTTTGTAAGAATATTTTAGTATAGTATCATACAACTTTCATATTAAGCTTACTGTTACTGTAAAAGATGACATATTGTTAAATAGTAATAATAATAATAATATCAAGAAACTAATAACATACAATTACATATTATAAATCAGATCAAATAAATAATTTCATAACTTATCACAAACAAAATAGAAGTTTTAAAACACAATAAAGCAGATAAAATAACTTAATGTTAAAATAGAACAATATTTTAGATATGCTAGAACAAGATTCAAGTGCCATTGAAAGTAAAATAAGTATAAAGTAAATAACAATAGATAATACATACATATATAAGTATATCATTTTCTAAAAGATTCAAAGGTAAAGTTTTAGATGAAAATATATGAGACACAAAAAAAATATAAAGCATATTGTAAAAATATTGATCTCGGAGGAATGTGTAAAGTAGTGATGCGAAAAGAGACTTAACCTTGGTTTAAAAGCCTAACGTTGCTTTTATAAACTTTTCCTTTTTGGATTTTTTTACCAATAAAATAGTTTGAACCGATGTCTGAATTTACATCAATACTAATGATCTGTTAAAAAAAAAAAAAAATTATACAAACATAGGTACATTTATCATTTTATACATTTTTGTTTTAGACTTAACTGATTGTATTGCAATTAAAAAATGAATTACCTAACTAAACACTTATATGCAATTTTAAAGGTACAATGTGTGATATTTATAGACATAAGTAACTTACTTCTCCTGCACTTAATCTTAAATCATGGGAATCGCGTGGTTCTTGACTGGTAATAACTTTAGCTTGTTGTATGCGACCCAAAGCAGGAGTATCAGGTGACAATGTTGCAATGTTATCTTGTTCAGTAGGAAACCTAAAATGTGTGAAATATATTTCAACCAGAATTTCAAATATAAAATGTTATATCAGATAATTTGTACATAAATAAAAGTATTAATACATAATTAAACAATTGAAAAAAACTATTTAAGTGATTATTAATTAGTGATGGTCAACTATATTGACAACAGTGTAAATGTTTGATACATCACAATATTACATTTAATTATCATTCTTAAATGCATTCAAACCTTTCAAATGGAGTGGGGGAGGGATATAGGAATATAGAAATGTTTTATTTCCAGCATGAAGCAATAAGAATTCTGAAAGCAGATTTGAATTTGCTGTGAAGTCTACTTGAGATCAACTTTACCAATTTTTAATTTATCTCCTTAAATTCTTAAAAAGCTATATTAATAAAAGAGTAATTGGAAAAATGGAATTTTTAAATATTTTTTGAGAAATTAAAATTAAAAATCAAAAGTGGGAAAGTTGATTTTAAGTAGATTTCATGATAAATTCAAATTTGCTATAAGAATTCTTATCGTTTTTCTAGATTAATCTGTATGTTGGAAATACGTGTCTAAATCCCTATATCTCACATGTGTAAGACAAAGACAGAAACTCCTTAATCCCATTATTTTTTTTTTTCATTGTTGTTTGTATAATTATTTGGATACCTATATGTTAAACATACCCAGAAAGATCTGACTGGAGACTCATCAAAGATTCATGACATCTCAAATAGAAAGCGGCTTGTGTATCCACAAAGTCTAACAAATGTTGTAAATGTTGAGGATGAGCGCTGGGAACACCTTCCATTAATAATTTGGTAATTTCTGCCTGGCGATCAAATTCTTCTTGAGCTATCTTAAGATCAAGTTCAGCCTAAGAGTTAAAAAAATCAAAAATTCTAATATTAATAGATATATAATAATAATAATAAACATCAACAGTTATTTATTAAGTTTAGTATAATAAAATACATATAACTAATATATGCTCCACTTCAGTTTGGTTCTTTTTACCTTTTCTATTAACTCTTCTGTGGTCGGACCAGAGTCATCTTGCTGCATGAAAAATACATTTAAACAACCATTTAAATGTTATTAAATGTATTAATCTTTAAAAACAATTGCACAAGACAACCACAAATATAAAAAAAAGAGCTGATACTGGAGACAGGTACAGTCATTGTTATAGGTAAGTAGTGGAAAAGGTGAGATACATAAAGTTATTAAATTCATAACTAAGTTTATAAAGATAAACCATCGCTAATAAAAAATGATTTAGATCGAAGTTCAGTTATACATGTTTTGAAAAGTAGTAATATTTTTGATTTTTAACAAAATTCAATTTTAAACACGTATACTTAAAAATAAAATAATATATTTAGCTATTTTTTTTTTTACCACTAAGTACAACTTTTAATGAACCTTCTATCTAACTTTCAAGCACTTCTGTTAAGTCTTAACAATTTATTTAAAGAGTACCTACCTTTTTAAATAAAAATACATAAATGACTTGCAAAATTAAAATGTCTATAAATAGTTTAAAAGTTCTAAAAGTTATACCATGTCTAGAAAAAGTAAATATAAGTTTTCTGTCAACATTTTAAGTTTCTATAAAAATGTTGAACTGAATTAAATAAAAAAACAAAATTAAAAAAAATAATAAAAAACTACAAAGAAAATCAAAAACCAACTGTTTGGTCACACACTAGATTAAAAATTTTAAAAATATCTCTTCATGTTTTTCTATTTATATTTTTGGTAAAAATGGAAATCGTAACAATTTGAAATGATAAAATTGTTGTTCCTTAATTTAAAAAAAAAATTGTAAATTTCCTCTTTTTTGGTTTTTCCAATTATTACAAAAAATACATCAGATATAAAAAGCTGATAGTCAATGGCTAAGTGTTTAAAGGGATAAAATTGATATCTTGTCATTTTTTAATTGGAAGTAATATCTGGTAAAAACCATAAGCTGAACATATTAACGTAATTAAATTATACAGCATACCTTAGTTTTGGTTGTTGCGAGCATTCTAGTCTTGCGCACTCGAGTTTTGCAAGCATCCAAGTCCAGTCTATAATATTTATTATATAGTAATTAGTCAACATGAACATTTTTATAAACTATTAAATCACAAAACTATTACAAACCTTCTTTTTTCTAAAAGCGAACGTTCCTTGACAACTGTCTTCATGTCAGTTTCTAAATACTTGTTCATTGGGTTTACGAAACAGTCATTGGTTGACTTGATAAATTCTCTTTGATTGAGTCCCAGGGTTTGCTGAATATTTCCAACTTTTATAAGTGCACTACCTAATATATAATACCATATATTATTATGATATGATAACAGAACACATTTATTTAAAGAATGAACACATTATAAAAATATATTAACTTCTTTACCATAAGCTGTATCAGGACCAAACTCATTTCCTGCTTCGGTCATAGCAAGTCCCAAGTATTCCAAACTACTAAGTCCAGACTTCTTCTTGTCCAAAAAAAAGAGATTTTCTACTCTCATACCTGAAAAATTGTAATATTTATAACTGTGTGACTAAAGTTTAAGGATAAATATTTATCAATTTTCAAACATAATTGTATTTGAAGATATATCTTAGGTAAGTAGTTACCAGGATTAGAGTTCAAAATAAATTCCATGTTTTTCAATATAGTTTCAGTGTTTTGTTTGGTGCTGTCGCAGAAGGTTACCAATTGTTCAAAATTAGGATCCAGTTCTGTCTTTTCTGCTTTACCCAATTTCTCTTCGGTAAACTACAAAATAAAAAATGTTAACCACTGTAATACAATTGTATTAGCACCTATTTTGTAAGTACCAATGTACTGTATAGTCAAATCAGATTAAATTATAAATACAAATTATTTGTGAAATTAGATACTTATTCAAAAATTTGCACCCAAAGATTAAATTTTCTATCAAAGATTTTTTTTTAGATCCTGTGAAAGCAAGTAATATATTAGATTTACATTGAAATTTATAAAATTTTAAAAATTTTCAGGTCTAAAAACAAGTTTTGAATCAGAAGAATTGCTCTAAACATCAACTTCGGGGAGGTTTCAAGAATTAAATTTTACTTAGTTAATACATAGAGGTGATATTTTGATGGCTCTAATAATTGTCTATTAAGACAATTAAGAAAAAACCGGAAAACAGGAATATTTCTGTTTTCTTGTTGTAATTTAATGAAAATTAATTGAAGAAACCAGATATTTTCACTGAATACTTAATAGTAAAAAATCAGTGTAGTGTCATAGGTAATCTATTTTTTATTAAAATGTATACGTTTTCCATTTAAATGTACTAAAAAATATTAATATATTAAACTCTGCTCAGAATATTTTTTTTTCTTTTATTTTGAAGGATAAATAGAAGAAGAAGTTGCTTTTCATCAGAACTTGATATATTGAATGAATAATAAGTAGTATAATTACAAAATAATGAAAAATAATATGTGTTTGTAACTATATGATAACAACCAAAGTTGGATATATCATTGTAACAACTGTAAAAAATATACTGTTTATACTAGACCACTCATGAAACAAATGCTTGGTGTGTGGCGTCACCAAATCGCTGACCGCTACGACAAACCGCGCCTTTATTGTTACACACAATAGGCATATAAACTAAATTACCTTTTATATCCTTTACTATTCTCACCTACATTTTATTTTATTTTATGTATTATTTCTTATTAAACAATTTACTTATATTATAGGTATTAATAAAATATTTGGTCGTTAGTAGAGGTCATAGTAATTGTACAGACCTAGTTGTTGGGAATTACACATTCCAATAACACATTAAAGGACTTTAAATACTCTGTTAGATACCTACGTACAAAAATAAATGAACCAAAAATATAAACAACAAAATAAATTTAAGAATCTCAGTAGTCAATAAAGGATATTTTGCATTAGTAAAGCTATCAAAGATTAACCTATACTTAAGTTGCCTACGGCCAGTCTTAGCATATGGTTGCAAAACGTGATAGATAATGAAAGAAGACAAAGAAAAGCTGTTAGTTTTTGAGAGGAAAGTGCTCTGTCGAATTTATGGTCTAATTGCTGAAAATGGGGTGTACCATATAAGAACGAACAAGGAAATCTTCGAGCTTTTTTAAAAACCAAAAGTTAAAACATTTATACGAAAAGAGTGGGCTGGGCACGTTTGAAAAGGATATAGAATGATGAATTATCACATGAGAAGAAGACAAGATGAGATCACTTTATGCCTAAATAAAGAAATACCTACAAAATATAAGTAGATTATTATTATAATTATTGGATTATTAATTTTACATGGGGGTAATAAATGTAATTTATAATAAATATATTTATAATATTTTTAATAAATAAAAATATTTCTATAATGATTTCCTACATCAGTGTTATATTTTTGCTAACATATGTTTCAAAATTAACCAAACAAATAAAAGAAAAAAGTGATTTGATATAGGTTTTATTATACAATGTATTTATTTTAGGATTAAAAGCTCAAAGATGTTGTTATTGTCATTATGTTTCCATTATAATAGACAATAATTGATACACTTGTATAAACATATTGTAAGATAGTTAAACATTATGTGGTTTTGTAAAAGTAGGCAATTTGTACTAATATGTACCTAACGTTTAAACAGTTTTATTCGATTATCAACATGATATTATTATTATAAGTAAAGAAGAACCTTGTTACACCAATAAAAGAAAAAAAAAATAGGTACCTACCTATATTATTTTCTATTTCTGTTTATAATTGTTTTATAGTTTGAATAAGATAAATACGGTGCAAAGTCAACACATTTTATGTTAATTTACCGTCAAGATAAATAGTGTTCTAATAGGTTTTCATTAAATACCTAGGTACAATATGTTTTTTAGCTGCATTTGTTGTAAATAACGTTTAGGATTCTTTGTACTTTTGGGTGAGTGTTAACATTGTGTAATTTGTAGTTGGTTGATATCCTTTAACGAACAACCGTCGAGTAAAAGCCATAAACAGACGCCACTGATATTGTCAAAGCAATTTCGACGGCGAACATAGGGCAACAATTGCCGAGGGGAGTAAAGAAACAAAATGTACGGCCATACGGGACGGGTCCCGTGTAAAAACCGGGATATCGATCAGACGGTGCCGAACCCAACGGTACGGGCACCAATCATCTATCCACTGACCTGGACGGCTCTGCTGAGCGCGGTGCCGGCATCCCGGAAAATCTGCTTGACGTTCTCCATGTCCATAATGCGACCGGCGGCGGCGGCGGCGGCGGCGGCTACGATCGAGTGTTGCAAAGTGAAGACGACGGCAGACTGCGCACAGCGGTTTGGCCTTTTGGGTCGTGTCGCGCGCAGATCGCCCGTTACGTCCTGTGGCGGTCGTTAATCTGCCCGTCAACGACTCAACGTTCCGCTATCGAATGATTGTTGGACAGTAGCCGTCGGTCGTCGACGGCGCTGCGGGTTTGATAACGCGCGTGCCCCCCGCGCCCCGTCCTACCAACCGCCTGGTGCGCCAGTAATCGATAACAATATTCGTCTTGATATTATTGTTGTTGTCCGTTCGATAAATCCCGATTGGACGACGCGCAATAACGCTTATAGTTTATGCGACAATAACATAGGTACTCGTTCACGCCACACACACCTAGCATAGTCACTGGGGTGAAACTGGGGAGGGGGTGCGGCGGGGAAAAATCGTGCTCCTCCCCTTAAAATTATAGATAGGCGTGCGAGTCGGCGAAACGGAGTCTGCTACTATTTTTATATACATGCATTTTTATGTTGCGTCCCTGTGCCCCTTTTATTGTTCTGTTGAAGTTATTACGCCCGTTGCTTTTCTTCATCACGAATAAATTCAATTTTCTTTTATTGTTGATAGTGAACGAATACACTAAATAAATAATTGATTCCTTTTCCCCATACAACCATGCAGTTTCTTTTATTTTAAATACCATTTCCCAATAACTCCAAAAATTTAAATTAAATTAATACATATTGGTACTATTATTTAGTAGTTATTTATACAAATAATGATTGCAGTATAATACATGTATATATTGGAAAAAAATGTCTTGGGTATATGTTACAAATTTACTAAACCAGTCTTGTCACATATTAATTAATATTATGTTAAAAATGTTATGTTTTACAAAACGCATAATAATTATAAAATATTATCATATTTATCTGACACATAAATGTTACAGAAGTGAAAATAAAAATTAAAAATTGGTTAAAAGAAATATAATTTACAGTTCAGAGTCTATAGACACATCTGTAATATTACATAATATAACCCTTAATATAATATCATACTACAGAAAACAGATTTAATATAAACTACTTTATCAGGTATCTAATCAATAGGTATTGAATTTAAACATAAAATAAATGTGTGTTTTTTTTTATATTTGTATTGACTAGTTTGACTATTGAGTAGGTGAGTAATTAGGTAGGTAAGGAGGGTAATTACCTATGTAATACAGTAATATAACACGTCAAGATAATTATCCACTGTTCACTAGCTAATAATAATAATAAAGATACACAGATGTAAAAAACAGTACTTACCTTTTTCAAAATCAGTTTGAAAAAGTTGAACAAAAAAAGTTAAATATTTTTGATAATTTCGATATTTTTTCTTCTTTTTTTTGATCTTTTTTCATTTCCACTACGGTTTTTTTTTTTCATTAATGGATGACACACTTGAGTGATTTAAAATTTAAAACAAAAATAAAATGTAAACATTTACAAAATACATTTTATTTAAGTATGGGCCTCATATAAGAACTTGAAACGTTGGGCCTCAGTGCAGTGAACCACCTGCACCGCGGTTTCTAAGGCACTGCATTTTGCCGTTAATTTTCCAATTTTTACCCTACTTTTTCTCATTTATAAAGAAAACTACAGTAAAAATAAAAATATAAAACCTCTTAGGCTGGTTATAGTCGGTCACTTTTTAAGGAGTGAGAATTAGGCAACTTATGAGATAGGTACGTCCGGGTCATGTTAACGTGTGCGTGTGTAAATGAATATTAGTTAAAAAACGTGTCTAGACTAGAAAAAAGGAAAAAACATCGTTGTAAAACCAATAGCTCCATAGCTGGTAGTATATAGAAAAATAAAATTATACAAATTGGTCGTTTTATTTAGAAATAATTTATTTTAATAGGAGAGATTATTTAAAATGGGTTATTATTAGACATAGATATATTAAGAAATATAAATTATTTGGTTATTATTTATTAGGTATCTAAAATGTATTAATATAAGATATTATTTTTAAAATAGGTTTGTACATTTAAAATATTAAAATTATTTTTCATTGTTTCATTGTATATGTGTAATTCTTCTAAAACTGAATTAATGTAAATTTTATTTTGAGTATTTAATGTCCGTAAATCTGTATTAATATCAAAGGTTATATTATGGTTAATTACTAAAACATGTTTAGCAAAATTTGAATTGGGAGCAGCCTTTTTAAATTTTATTTCAGAAATGTGTTCTTTATATTTTATTTCAAATCTTAATTAAATCGAATTCGTTAGACATTATTGTGTATTGTATAATTTTTATCTAAATGTGATACTTGATAAGGTGCATGCCGGGCAGTCTTTATTATTATTATTACTATTATTATCTGCGGTTTGTGTTATTGTCTCTCGTTGGTCTGCGGTCAGTCGTTGTGCATTGTCTCTGCACTTTTATTGATGTTTCAATAATTGATCGGCCATGTATCATTTTATTAATATTATCATTTACATCAAATGAGTACCTAGATAGCAAATACAACATGGTGTCAGGTTGTAATGTTTTTTTAAAATAATTTAATTAATTAATTATGAATTATTTGTGTGTTACGAATGACTAAACATTTTCATATTAATTTTAAGTTTAATCTCCGATGATTTAAAATGGTATTTTTCACTCAAAACACATTTTATAAATTAAGAGAATACAAACCACATGGGAGAAAAATCATTAACTTATGTTAACAGATTTGAAACAGTTACACAAAGGGAATTGATGTTTGCATGTGAGTATCAATATAAAAATATAGATTAGTGTTTAAACTATCCATACGACACAAATATAGACGGCACAAACATATTAAACATATTATTTTAACACGTTGCATATTTGGTATGATGGACATTGAAGGGACATTATTGTATAAAATTCATTTTTTAATTATGTTTAATACAATTAAAATAAAATAAAGTACCTATACTTCAAACAAATTGTTTTTGACAAAAAGAAAAATTGGTTTCAAATGGTACTAGTAACATTAATAAATTGAGTACAGTATAAACACGCCTACCAATTAATAGAATGAGATATTTTAAATCAATTTTACAATTATTGATAGTTTAATATTATTTCTAAATAGGTAAATTTATTGGGAACAATTTTTTTAGTAAACATGATGTTTTTCAAAGATCAATGTAATTGTCTAGTAATGTTAGTTCTTTAAGCGAAGAAAAAAACATTATAATTAAAAAATATTGGTTTATGGCTTCCCCATCCGATTAATTTCTCTGTCCAATTAACCCCAAACAAACAAACCCATAAACAATAAATAAGTGAATTTTAACAAATTATATAATTTAGTTATAATTATTATAAGGTTAGTAAATCTGTAATTTTTTTTTCTTAAACTAAAATAAAAGTTTATTATCTGTTGATATCATTATATGAGTGAGTCGGTTTAGCTGTATTTGATCTATATGAAAATATGTTATCTATAACAATACCGAAATAATTTAGATAAAAGCAGTGGAGTAGATATGTACTAGTGTAATGGTATTTTGTTATAAACAACTTTTGACAACATATTCTATAATATATTTGTCCGTTGATAATTTTATTCGGTCTTGTGTATTAAATATTTTATAATAATTTTATTTTTTTTTCATTTCTAAGTATCAATTATTTATTATGGCATTAGCATATGTAAAAAGTACTAAATAAAAAATATGTCAAAAATGAAATATTGGCAGTTTTAATTTAAAAAATATATAGGTTTGAGGTTAATTGGACGGGAAAACATTGGTCTTAAATGAATATTTCTTCCTAGATATAATATTAGGCATTATAATTTACTAATTACAATTTAAATTTTAATGTTAATCTGTGAAATACCATTATAACAATAATAACATTTAAATATTTTCAAAAAATGAGAGGATGGAGTGTAGTAAATTTAATTTGTGAATTTTCGTTTTCAGCGTCTATCTATATTCATATTTTTCAATTCCTTAGATACCCGAACAGAGGAAATTTTAAGTTATAAAATTGTCACCGAGAATGCCAGTCTACATATTCTTTAGAACTGTGTGTAGTAAGTTTATTATTTTAAACTCTGAAACATTTAATAATAAATATTCACATAATACCTATACAATTACAGTAAACATACTGAATTTCGTGAATGAATTGAAAATAATCAACGTTCAAAGCAATTTAACATTTGGATAATGTCACTGACAATAAAATTTCAATCAAACATCCCCCCCCTAAAAAGTAATTTTGTTATTTATTATTTTTTATAGTAGGTATCATTATATCAAATACTTATTATACAATTCTTGATTTATTATTTATTATTTATTATAGTAGGTATCATTGTATCAAATACTTATTATACAATTCTTGATTTGTGTATATTTAGCAGTTTATTAATGGTATTCCATACATATAATATCTAGTGTCTCAGTTAGTAGTACACACTAGATTTTTTTATAATAATTTCCTAGATGGCTAGATATTAGAGAGAGGATAGCACATATTATCAGTACAGTACTATGACAGTACTATCACTGTTATTACTGAATAAATTATTTAAATTAATACAACTTATTATTGAACTGTATCCACGCGCAGCGTTTTAACAGTTTTGACTAGACTGACTATATTGGTATATTTACCCATTTACATTAACGATATAGACATAGATTCTTTATTCTAGGCATTATTCTTTTATATCTATGTATTTACCAACAGTTGTTGTAGGTGGTCATTTATCAAAATATATTATCATTATGAGATGTCACTATAACATTAGGTACCCTTATCATAACAAATATTAATCAAATCATATAGACACTCATGTAGTTTAATGTGTATTGTTATCTTTATTAAAAGATCCTACTTATCTTGTTTTTAATTAATTAATTGAACTTGAAATGTCGTGGTAAAGGGGTAATAAAATATAGAAATTACGGAATTGTGTTACAAGAAAAAGATTCCGACAAGAATCGTATTTCTGACATGACAACAGCGGGTTTAAATACAATACGGAGTTGGTAGAAAAAAAATGTAATATTGAACAATGAATGTGGGGAATCGTGTTCCATTCAATTATTATTGGATTATTTTGACAAAGCAAAAACTGTTATTATTATTAATTTATTTTAAATAATGTCTATCTTTATATTATAACATTTATT